ATATATATATATATATATATATATATATATATATATATATATATATATATATATACAGTGGCGTAGCGAGGCAGGTGCGGGGGGTGCGGACCGCACCAGGTGACACCATTTTAGGGGTGACACCCGATTGAAAAATTCCATATTTACAGGGCACACATTACTCGCAAAAATCGAGATTCACAAAAGAATAACCGATCACACATATATTTTTCACAAATATAACCAATCCAAATGCGTGCTTTATTAAAAGTTCAAGGTTGATGCTATACTGTGAACTTATTTTAACAAGANCTACACTTTAGTGACCGTCCATAAAGTACGTCACAGTTTAAAAAATAAATATATAAAATATAATATATATGTATATATATATATATATATATATATATATATATATATATAGCGTTCTTTTTATTTAAATCTCAACTCATCTGAAATAAACATTAAACGTAAATCTGTTTAGGAATAACGTTAGCTGTACAATTGCTAAGAAATTAAAATGTAACAATATTGAGCAGCGTTCACTTTTTTTAAACAACAATTTAAAAGATAATAAATGACATCTTTTAAAAAATTGCTAGCTATGTGAGTGAATGTCACAAAAGATAAGATAAGTTTCCTTTTTATCCTAATAAATGGAAATATTTGTTGTTTTTTTTGTGTGTTATTGTTATTGTTTTTTTTGTTTTTTTATTAAATTGAACATAGTCATTTGCAGCACACCAGTAAGTATATATTTTAACAAAGACAACATTTTACAATTATAACAGTTGAAACAGATGACATCTAACGTATTTGTCTAGCGTAGAACTCAACCATCGATGAACTGCTTTGGTGACAAAAATGAATTAAATAACATTTAAATATAGCAGGAAACACAAAATTAAACACAATTAAATTCTAAATATCGGTTCGACATCTTTCATGTCCTCCGAAAAAATCCACGGGCTCCAAACCAGACGGATTTAAATGTAAAGGTTGGGCTCATTGAAAACATTCGTCAAAATAATGTACATAATTCCGATCATGTGTTCCTAGGTGTATAATACATGTTTCCCAAGTTTGTAGTAATTAAATGAATGCGAAGTTAGAAGAATATTGAAGTTCTGAAAGATCTCATTTTACCGAGTGCAATATTTTACGTCTAATCTCAAGTGTCAGTTGTAAGTAGTTCCGGCTGGTTCTGAGCGGTTTGTTTATGCTGAAATATGGATTGGATTAAAAACGTAAGTATTTTTATGCGGTTAAGCGTCAAGTTGCCAATCGGAACACATACCCTTTCCATGCTAACATACTCTTTCCATTCTAAGCTCCACCGTAAAATATTATTTATCAATGCCATGGTCTCGGGGATGGAACCCTTAATTGTGTTTTTTTAAAGTTGAATGTCCTGGAATGTTTTGCGACTCAAAATAACATCGAAACGGAAAATGTTGTTCTTAAGTCTGGTCAGATGAATTATAGAGGGGGCTTCACATTCAGACTTTTGACTTGTAACCTTCATCATAAGCTAAGGAGCAACGCGATTAGTTGAATCTGAAACCTTTTGCGGTATATTTCGTCTGTTAATTTGACAACAGATTTGTATTGTTATATTTCGGCCAGCAGAGATGAGCTGGCAGTACTATTAATAAAGTCACTCACTGTTTACGGTTTGAATTGCTCTAGGACACGTGCTAACACCTCACGCAGGGGCCTGCAAAGGCGGTGGCGAATGGGGGGCCACTCCCCCCGGGAGCCAACATAGAGGGGCGTGGGGGGGGGGGTTGGAATCGTCTTTAGATAAGACCTTCATATCGAATTGAACGAAAAACACCCATGTACTTCATAAAGAAAAAGTGGGGCCAAAATCGTATTGTACCGCCCAGCCCCGGGTGGCGCTTTTTTTCATAAGTTTAGAGGTGACATTTTCGACTTCGCCACTTTTTCTCGTTACGGCCATGTCCTCACGTACTTATTGACGGGCCAGTAAAGTTCAACATTTCGTTTCAAAACTGAATAGATTTCTCTTCAAAATCATGAAAGTTATTTCTTGAAATTGAACACAAGCAGGCTACCAAGCCATGAATAATACTTTGGCTATAAAATAGAATGTTATCGTGCTATACAATTTAATCTTATCATTGGAGTGTTTAAAAAAAAAGATATCCCCCACAACTGCCACATGTAAATAACATCAGAAATATGTGTGCTCAGAGGCGGATTCAAAAGAAATTGACGAATCAAGATAAATTCCGACAAAGAAATGGGCCTGGATAGTAAAAGTATAAGAAGAATTAATTTGTTTCTTATTTTGTTACAGAAATTATTATTTTGTTACAGAAATTATATTCATAAACACATTTTTTTAAAAAAATGACAGTGAGCTAGAGCTCGGGTGCATTCCCCTCGAAATCGCCCCTGCATGTTTCCCATTAATGCAATCCTGCCAACAACGGTACGCAGCAAATGACGGGAGTGCACTCATGTTTTTATTTGGCTTGATAAGGGTTTGGATAAATCTGGCTGACGTGTTGAGGTGAGCAGACCATTCCGGCCAAAGCTGGTGCTTAAAACGATCCTTTCGAGCTGTCTTCTTGAGCACACACTTGAGCCAAGGTTGAGAGCACGAGATAACGATATACAATATTAGTGCTTGGAGTAGCCCGTTGTTTTTGTTAATATGTTGTTGTTGTTTTGTTTTTTTTGTGATCCTGTTCCTGGAGGATTCGTATGTTTCAGATTGTAGACTTATCAAAGCGGTGGTCCAAAATAGGGGCTTGTATGTTGCAGATTGTAGAGTTATGAAGGCGGTGGTCCGAAATAGGGGCTTGTATGTTCCAGATTATAGACTCATCAAGGCGGTGGTCCGAAATAGGAGGGTGTATGGTCCAGATTATAGACTCATCAAGGCGATGGTCCGAAATAGGGGCTTGTATAGTCCAGATTGTAGACTTGTCCAAAGATTGGGCAGCAGGTGTTTTTCTGGTGGCCACTCTATGGTTGTGTAAAGGTTTCACAGCAGGCTCGGAAGCTTCGCCAGAATACACCGCGACCGAGCGTAAACAGCGATCATTTGTGAAAACGTAAACGCCAGGTTGTGAACCTTATGACATAGAGGAGGGCCGAACTACTTTTATCGGGTTAATTCACAATGACACCCGACCTGCCACCACTGCGCCGGAAATGGCTCTGCACTAATTACTAACTGAGTGCGCAAGCGCCGCCCTGGGTGACCGGAGCAACAGTGGATACTGAGTCCCATGAGGAGGATTCATATGGTGACGCCCAGAAGATGAGAATGGCATGTGACATACTGACCCGGGCAACGAAGAGCAAATAACTCGGCCCCCTAAAAACAGTGAATGAGAATGAGGCCAATTTTCGCAAATTAACACACAAAGACTGCACCTTCAATAAACAGCTTCAATAAATAGCTTCTATCAGATTGTGGTTAGCTCTTCTGTTGAGATGTGCAGAAAGTATGGAAACTGAATTTGTTTATTACTGAACGATGGCATGGCAGTGTTGCGTTGCACGTGTTGAGCCCACTTCCACATCAGTTTGAGACCAAGGTCAAGAGTCGTATGATACATTTGAGAATGTCTGTGACAAATTACAATGTGGTTCATGCATCTAGAGTTTCTCTCTAATATTCTCGGTAAAATCTTCCAGGAGCGTTTTCCCTCAAGACGCATGAGATTATGCATATTAATTCCTATGATAAAGCCTATGGACCATGGACAACCCGCTGTTCAATTTGAAAGCGTTGCGTTCACACCTTTGTCTTGCAGTGCGGCTGGTGACGTGTGAGATGTCGTAATCTCAAACCGTTGTGCGCTAGATATTGGAGATGAAAGTCGTGCAGCTAGAGACGTGCGCAGAACGTTCCCCCCTCGCGCCTGATGGCCGACAAAAATAGCTGGCGGGTGGCCTTGTGGGCTTATTTTTAAAAAATCTTTATCAGATTGGTTTTCCCGCTTACCCGCCGCTGAGACGGGAAAATAGATTTAGCCGAGCTTGAAAAAGGTTAATATTCTGTCTGCCTTGAAACAGGTTTGCATTTTTTTTTTATCTGCTCCCTAACTTAACGACCAGAAACAGACTTGTTTTTTTGTTGTTTTTTTTTTAAATTTTATAGAGTAATATCTCGCATCTTTACATACTATTAGTTTTTGCGTTTTTCTTACGCTAGTGGTCATTGAGGTATATTCAAAACTTGATTTTCTTTTAACTTCATTGATTTAATTAAAAGACAGTTATCATCTTTCATCTTCGAGTATGTTTAAGTTATGATCAAGCTTCAAAGAGCTGAAGTAAACGGAAATAATTTACCCGAAAACCTTCGCCTTCTATGAGGAATTAATCGATTGCAATTCTTTCAGTGTAGTTTATAGTGTAGTAAATAGAGGGCTCAGTGTAGTAAACAGATTGCTTAGAGTAGCTAATAGATTGTTTAGAGTAGTTAATAGATCGCTTAGTGTACTTAATGGATCCTAGAAACGGGTTCCATTAAAATTCAATTAAACATCCCTTAAAAACAAAGTATATCTTAAAAATCATTTACATGCATAGTTTAATATTTTATATAAATATTTTAATATCCATCCTGCTTTTACACCGCAGATTTATTACACCAACTATTACATAAAAACAAAAGAAAATATCACGAGCCAAACGCTTTTGCGATATTTTGTTTAAGAATCTCATTTAGCGCAGTTATCGAGAAATCAGTGTCGTTGACATGTTCTTCATCTGTCCCTTCAAAAACAGGAAAAAACTTATTTTCGTGGGTTGAGGTTAGAAGGTGGGGGGCTTATAATTTTATATAACGTGTTGTCATCAGCAGTGAGATTATGTGCCAAGTTTCAGCTCGATGAGTTGACGGGAAGTGGGTCAATTTGCAGTCCGAAGATTTTGCCATCCAGAAACGAACGAACAAAAGTGACGTTAATACAAAGGATTCATAAAGAAGTTCATTGTAACGTGAAAGAATGTTTCCCTTGCCTGTTTCTCCCTCAGTACTGGAACGTCAGCCTCCAGCAGCGAGCCGAGGGCTGGGCGCACAAATGCCTCTTCAAGCACGAGCGTAACCCTGACCTTGGCGAGAACCTCTTCTTCGACACGGACCACGACAACGACGTCTTCCTCCGCGGCATGAAGGCGTGGCACGATGAGAAATCCAAGTGGGGCTACACTGACCAGGGCTGCAGGGGGACGTGCCATTACACACAGGTAAGCTCCATCAGGTGTCTGAACGACAACTTTGCTGTATCTCTAGCACTATCATTTCTTGTATCCAAAGAGTGCTAAAACGTGCAGAAATGATTAATTTTTAAACATGAGAAAATCATATCTGAAAAGCACGTTCTAAATAGTTTTTTTTTTCCACCTGAAGTTAAAAACAAACTGAGTGTTGTGTGACAGATGTTGTAGTGACGCTAGCTTTCCATTTTTTCATGATATTTTCCATGCTGCGTCCGACAGGTCGTATGGTCCTACACAACAACGGTCGGCTGCGCTGCCCACGTCTGTCCAGCACTGAGTGTTTCCGGACGCTACATCAAGGACGCTATGTATCTCGTCTGCTACTACTATCCCAGGTATTTGGAATGAAAACTTTAATCCAAAAGCTACAACATCCATTTTGAAGACGGAAATGAAGCCATGCTCAAATTAAATTGGAATAAAGAGCCTACTCGGAAACGTGTTTGAATGGAAATTTGTTCGAAATAAATTTTCTTTGCAGTTAAATAAGATTACGATAATTTTAAGGGTTCTGGGGAAAATATCAACTTTTTAAGAAAGTTAAAATTGTTGTTTCTTTTTCCTTTAACTTTATTGGGGAACAAAACTCGCGTCGAACAAATTTATTTCGTAAAATTTCCGATAACAAATAAATATTTGTGTGATGTTAAAATACTATTGCTTAACGGGGGGGGAGCGAGTTATTTTTTTTTCAAAGGGTCCGGGTGTTTTGATAAAGAAACAAAAACAAAAAACAAATAGGTCAAGGTCGAAGGGAGTCAAAAAATATATATATATATACAATTTCTCTTTTTTTTTAAAAATGAATGTTTGCCGGCCTTTAAACAATAGTCCCCCAGACAGTAGTCCTACACCATACCTGCCGGCCTTTAAACATAAGTCCCCCAGACAGTAGTCCTACACCATACCTGCCGGCTTTTAAACAATAGTCCCCCAGACAGTAGTCCTACACCATACCGGCCGGTCTTTAAACAATAGTCCCCCAGACAGTAGTCCTACACCATACCTGCCGGCCTTTAAACAATAGTCCCCCAGACAGTAGTCCTACACCATACCTGCCAGCCTTTAAACAATAGTCCCCCAGACAGTAGTCCTACACCATACCTGCCGGCCTTTTAACAACAATCCCCCAGACAGTAGTGATACCCCATACCTGTCGGCCTTTAAACAATAGTCCCCCAGACAGTAGTCCTACACCATACATGCCGGCCTTTAAACAACAGTCCCCCCGACAGTCCTGCCCCATACCCGATGCTCTTTATTAATTAATATACTAGTCGTCTCCACCTAAACGGAAAAATTCAACCTTTTTACCCGAGTTCAACGTCACGTCACGAATGACACACCAGAAGCAATATATATATATATACCAGAATTTTAATTGTTAATGTTTCGTCATGATTTCCATGTGTACTGTGTAAGTGTTGTGTTGTCCAATTTGTCAACACCTGACTCACGTCTGTTAATAAAATGAAAAAACAACAACAAAAAACAGTAGTTATATAGCCAGCCAAACTTGGCTACAGCAATGCGTCAATTTAATAATATATACATTCAGAATGACAACATTAATCTTTTTTTAATTATGTAAAAATGTGTTTGTTAACCAACAGAGGCAACTTCATAGGTCAGTTTCCATTTTCCCGCGGTCAGTCATGCTCTGGGTGCGACAAGGAGGACACATGCTCTGAAGGCTTGTGTATATCGTCTGGACCTGAGTCGAAGCGAGCCCCAGGTGAGACCTCGGGTCTCTATCATCACTCTCTTAAAACGTTTTAGCAGAGCTCTTTTACCCGGGGGGGGGGGGGGGGGGGGGGGGGATCTGGATGTAGTCCAATGGTGAACATCGAATGAACGCATCTAGTAAAAATTCGTGTTTTGTAGATTTTTAGTTTCGTTTCTTGTACTGTAAGCCTACTTGAGAGTAAAAGTATAATATAACTTTTTATAATAACATTTGGTTGTTAAGTTGACAATGAGGTGTACTTTTGGTTGTTATGTTTGCAGTGAGGTGTACTTTTGGTTGCGTGATTGTTGTGAAGTATACATTTGGTTTGAAGGTTGGTAGTCAAGTTTACTTTTGGATGTGGAGTTGGTAGGGAAGGGTGCTTTATGTTGTCGAGTTGGCAGTGACGTTTGCTTTAGGTTGTGACATTTGCAGTGAAGTGTGCTTTAGGTTGTCGCGTTGGCAGTGAAGTGTGCTTTAGGTTGTCGCGTGGGCAGTGAAGTGTGCTTTAGGTTGTCGCGTGGGCAGTGAAGTGTGCTTTAGGTTGTCGAGTTGGCAGTGAAGTGTGCTTTAGGTTGTCGCGTGGGCAGTGAAGTGTGCTTTAGGTTGTCACGTGGGCAGTGAAGTGTGCTTTTAAAGAAAATGAAGTTTCAGCTTTATATTTTAAAAACATAGAATGGCTACAATTCTTTGCTTCTCCTTTTTTTTCAGATTTTGTCAAATCGCTATCGCCACAGGGCAATTTTCGGCACACCAGCTCATCATCCTTCGAAGCTTTCAAGTCCTTAAGTCAAGATTTTTCATCCTTGACCCATCGCATCTCCAAACCTGGCCACCAAACCGCCCATTTTGCCGAACGCCACCAGAAGACAGAAACATTGTCTTCCTCATCTTCCTCACAAACTCACTCTGTATCCAACAACGGGGGATACGAAACGAGGCACCATCAAATATCTCACCGCCACCACCATCAACAGCAGGTGGAGCAGAAGGAGGTGGCGTGGATCCACCAGCAGACATCAAACAGCGCAAGGCAAGATAGAGAGCAGGACACGGGCCTGAAAGAACAGCCAGCATACGAGTTGACGCGAGTCCTGGAGGCACAGAGAAGAGATGAGCAGATACGCCGGGAGCATCACTGGCGAGAAGAGCAAAGGCAGCACAATCAGCAGCAGATCAAGACCGGTCGTGAATACTCGCAGAAGACCAGCAGAGAAGAGGAGTCTAAAATAAGTTACAACTCTGATCACGATCGGGTGTTATCAAATCCACACATGACAAATTATTCCACGAACAATGATTTGAATACACGGGGCCAAGTGACAACGACGTCCTCATCGGAAGCACAACGGAGAGAGCAAGAGATGCTGGCACGGATGTACCACAGCCAGGTCCATAGAACTGGGACTAGTGTTGATGACTTAAAGAAATCCAACCGGGCCCCCCAGGAAGAAATACCCGACAACTCTGGGAGAGAAGATGACACGTTGGTGCTGATTGGATCGAAGAGAGACGGAAAGAACGAAGGGTCGGAAAATGCTGAAGATTTGGATACATATCTGGAGGCGTCTGGCGGAAAGCCGTGCAGCGACAGACATCCTGAGTGAGTGGGCAGTTGGTTCATAGATATATCTAGTAAATATAAAAAAAAATATCTATCAATGAGTCCGATTTTATTATTATGTTGTTAATTTAATGAGTGTAAATCCTTGAGGAGTGGGGTTTTAAACTTTTGTAGAGTAAGTGGAATCATGGCCCTGCAGGGGAATTTTGGGCCTCGAGCAAATCCAAATTTTTGGCCCCCGCATATTTCAAAATTATTGAATTTAATGTTTGAATTCCGCTCTTGGGGGCCCCTTTGCGGGCTGGACCCGAATGATTTACTCGGTTGCCTCGGCCTCTATACAACCTTGGGTTGAGTAATGCATGAAGTGATATATCACCTGATCATGTGGTTATTGATCGGAAGTTAATCTAAAAATAAGTGAACCATATAAACAAGCATAAAACGTATGCACATCTCGGTGCTTTTAAACTAAATGGCAAATCAAGTGACGTGCATGCTCAATGAAGTTTAGTTTATTTCAATAATTGAATTCCGTCATTAAACAAGGTCTTGCTCACATTCAGGTGTGAACGCTGGGCCACAAAATGCTACAGGAGCGCGGCCGTGACCTTGTCGTGCCCCTTGACGTGCGGGAAGTGTGGCAAACATCTGGCGGAGCCGCAGAACGACCAACGTCCTCAGAGCAGCTACCACGCCCCCGGCAGAAGGCGTAACCCGAAAGGCTATCACGTGGCGATGAAACGGAACCGTCAACAACGGCGTCAACGGGAGCAGGATGAGAGGACCGAACAACGGTTGGTAGGACATAGGACATGACCTGGGTTTGGTGGGACATGGGACACGACCGGGGTTTGGTGGGACATGGGACACGACCGGGGTTTGGTGTGACATTTATTGACATTAGCTAGGTTAGTTTGATATGTGACATTAGGTAGGTTTGTTTGATATGTGACATTAGCTAGGTTTGTTTGATATGTGACATTAGCTAGGTTTGTTTGATATGTGACATTAGCTAGGTTTGTTTGATATGTGACATTAACTAGGTTTAGTATGACATGTGACATTAGCTAGGTTTGTTTGATGTGTGACATTAGCTTGGTTATGTATGACACGTGACATTAGCTAGGTTTGTTTGATGTGTGACATTAGCTTGGTTTGGTATGACACGTTACATTAGCTAGGTTTGTTTGATGTTAGACATTAGCTTGGTTTGGTATGACACTTGACATTAGCTAGGTTTGTTTATGTGTGACATTAGCTAGGATTTGTATGACACGTGACATTTGCTAGGTTGGTATGACACGTGACAGTAGCTAGGTTTGTTTGATAGTGACATTAGCTAGGTTTGTTTGATATGTGACATTAGCTAGATTTGGTATGACACGTGACATTAGCTAGGTTTGTTTGATGTGTAACATTAGCTAGGTTTGGTATGACACGTGACATTAGCTAGCTTTGCTTGATATGTGACATTAGCTAGGTTTGTTTGATATGTAACATTTGCTTGGTTTGTTTGATATGTGACATTAGCTAGGTTTGGTAGGACACGTGACATTAGCTAGGTTTGTTTGATATGTGATATTAGCTAGGTTTGTTTGATATGTGACATAAGCTAGGTTTGTTTGATATGTAACATTAGCTAGGTTTCTTTGATAGTGACATTAGCTAGGTTTGTTTGATATGTGAAATTAGCTAGGTTTGGTATGACACGTGACATTAGCTAGGCTTGATTGATGTGTAACATTAGCTAGGTTTGGTATGACACGTGACATTAGCTAGCTTTGCTTGATATGTGACATTAGCTAGGTTTGTTTGATATGTGACATTTGCTAGGTTTGTTTGATTATGTGACATGAGCTAGGTTTGGATTGACACGTGACATTAGCTTGGTTAGTTTGATATGTGACATTAGGTAGGTTTGTTTGATATGTGACATTAGCTAGGTTTGTTTGATATGTGACATTAGCTAGGTTTGTTTGATATGTGACATTAGCTAGGTTTGTTTATATGTGACATTAGCTAGGTTTGTTTGATATGTGACATTAGCTAGGTTTGTTTGATGTGTGACATTTACTAGGTTTAGTATGACACGTGACATTAGCTAGGTTTGTTTGATGTGTGACATTAGCTTGGTTATGTATGACACGTGACATTAGCTAGGTTTGTTTGATGTGTGACATTAGCTTGGTTTGGTATGACACTTGACATTAGCTAGGTTTGTTTATGTGTGACATTAGCTAGGATTTGTATGACACGTGACATTAGCTAGGTTTGATTGATGTGTAACATTAGCTAGGTTTGGTATGACATGTGACATTAGCTAGGTTTGTTTGATATGTGATATTAGCTATGTTTGCTTGATATGTGACATTAGCTAGGTTTGTTTGATATGTGACATTAGCTAGTTTTGGTATGACACGTGACATTACCTAGGTTTGTTTGATATGTCACATTAGCTAGGTTTGGATTAACATGTGACATTAGCTAGGTTGGTATGACACTTGACATTAGCTAGGTTTCTTTGATAGTGAAATTAGCTAGGTTTGTTTGATATGTGACATTAGCTAGGTTTGGTATGACACGTGACATTAGCTAGGTTTGTTTGATGTGTAACATTAGCTAGGTTTGGTATGACACGTGACATTAGCTAGGTTTGCTTAATATGTGACATTAGCTAGGTTTGTTTGATATGTAACATTTGCTAGGTTTGTTTGATATGTGACATTAGCTAGGTTTGGTAGGACACGTGACATTAGCTAGGTTTGTTTGATATTTGACATTAGCTAGGTTTGTTTGATATGTGACATTAGCTAGGTTTGTTTGATATGTAACATTAGCTAGGTTTCTTTGATATGTGACATTAGCTAGGTTTGTTTGATATGTTACATTAGCTAGGTTTGGCATGACACGTGACATTAGCTAGGTTTGATTGATGTGTAACATTAGCTAGGTTTGGTATGACACGTGACATTAGCTAGGTTTGCTTGATATGTGACATTAGCTAGTTTTGTTTGATATGTGCCATTTGCTACGTTTGTTTGATTATGTGAAATTAGCTAGGTTTAGATTGACACGTGACATTAGCTAGGTTTGTTTGATATTTGACATTAGCAAGGTTTGTTTGATATGTGACATTAGCTAGGTTTGTTTGATATGTGACATTAGCTAGTTTTGTTTGATATGTTGCATTAGCTAGGTTTGTTTTATATATGACATTAGCTAGGTTTGGTATGAAATGTGATATTAGCTAGGATTGTTTGATGTGTGACATTAGCTAGGTTTGTTTGATATGTGACATTTGCTAGGTTCGGTATTAGACGTGACATTAGCTAGGTTAGTTTTATATGTGACATTAGGTAGGTTTGGTATGGCATGTGACATTAGCTAGGTTTGTTTGATAGTGACATTAGCTAGGTTTTTTTTGATATGTGACATTAGCTAGGTTTGTTTGATATGTGACATTAGCTAGGTTTGGTATGACACGTGACATTAGCTAGGTTTGTATGATACTTCACATTAGCTAGGTTTTATATGACATGTGACATGGGCTAGGTTTGGATTGACATGTGACATTAACTAGGTTTGTTTGATGTTTGACACTAGCTAGGTTCGTTTGACATGTGACATGGGCTAGGTTTGATATGACATGTGACATGGGCTAGGTTTGATATGACATGTGACATGGGTTAGGTTGATATGACATGTGACATGGGCTAGGTTTGATATGACATGTGACATGGGCTAGTTTGATATGACATATGACATGGGTTAGGTGTGATATGACATGTGACATGGGCTAGGTGTGATATGACATGTGACAAGGGATATGTTTGATATGACATGTAACATGGGCTAGGTTTGATATGACATGTGACATGGGCTAGGTTTGATATGACATATCCCACGTGCCAAAGAAGAGTAAGTATAGCGTGGCTTTAAATATCCAAGCGGCCTCAAAAAGTCTAGACCCCCCCCCCAGGGTATCTAAAATTACCATTGAAAGACACGACCTAAAACAGTGCTGGTCCTACTCATTGACGCCCTATGCTCCTGGCCTCATTGGTACCCTATGGCCCTAGCCTCATTGGAGCACGTATGGTCCTAACCTCATTTGAGCCCTATGCTCCTAGCCTCATTGGCGCCCTATTGTCCTAGCCTCATTGGCACCCGTGTGGTCCTAGCCTCATTTGCGCCCTATGCTTCTAGCCTCATTGGTGCCCTTTTATCCTAGCCTCATTGGCGCCCTATGGTCCTAGCCTCATTGGTGCCCTTTGGTGAGTGCCGGACTTCACTTCAAAATAATATATTATACATTTTTAAAATTGAATTTCAAGAAACTTACATTTAACGGGCTCTTTGTAAATCTTATGATCAAACAAAACATGTTCCCGGTTGATTTTTTTTAACAGCTTTGATACTTTGATACAAATTGTAAGAAATAATGTAAATCGGTGTTATGCACTTAAAAAAATAAAACACTGCCGTTGCCAAAAGATGTAAGACAGTTGCCCGGTAGGGTTCAAGGAATCAAATTATGACTCAGAGCTGAAATTCAAAATGTTACGCATCTAGTGCGCAAATGTAGAGGAAAGTTTGAGTAGCCTATGGAATTTTTACTGACGGTTTCTTTTGATATAATAGTAATGTAAAAACATATTCGAAGCATCTCTACTATTGGGTTTGTCATTTAATGGCGGAAATCTATTAATAGAACATCCGGGCATTCAGTTCGGGCAATCTCATTAAATGGCGGGAATATTTTAATATAACATCCTGGTACTCCGTTTGGCCAATCTCTCAACAGCTGTTCCGTACTTCCACATTAGTGTTAGTCAGCCAAGTGGGTCTTAAACTAGACTAAAACTTGTTTACAACATTTTACGAAAGATTTTGAAAACAATTTGTTCTTTCTATATATATGCTGAAATACATTGTTAGCTGCCATGTTTTACTAAAAACTTTCAAAAAATAATAACATTGCGTAATGCTGTGTGACAGTTTCCAGTTTTAGAAATGATAAACCCTGTTCGGAGAATGTTGCTACTGTCATAACGATACTTAAAAAGACTTTAAAATATTTAAACTTACATCCATTGTATATATGCACAATTTTATTCCGTTCCTTTACTGACATGCATTTGCAATTATCTTCTTCTTCTATATATTGTATTGGTCATTCTGGCTCCTATATATGTAGAGGGATTTCCATGCCTGGTATTGGAGAGGATATGTCACTGGCTGCAAGGACCACTCAGCGAGGGTATCAGGACATGGTGTTTGGAAGGCCTGAGGCAATAGACCCAAACGTGTTAAGCGTTGTCGCCTCACCTGTTTCTTTTGGAAGCTTTTTCCAGCCCTTGATTGTCTTTGGCAGGAATGAGCAGTTCCTGTAATGTGTTCTTACTGTTATGAGCCGGATTTGCCTGTCATGGCCTCGTGGCATCGGGAGGGGGGGGGGGTCTGTTTAAGGCTGGAGCAGTGGACCAGTCCATTATTTATCTTTTACATCATGGAGAGCATGGATAATCGTCGCGTTTCCTTTAATGAAGCTAAACAGTAGAGGTGTTCCTGTAGCGGTTCAGAACAATGCGGCTGCCCGTCATTGGACCGCTTCCAAACTATCAATGCTTTGCTGGGTGAATGGGTCTGGTGCCATAGCTTAATGCTTATTTTCTATATATTGCGAATCTCAATAACTCTCAAAAAGAAATAATTTCAAAACTTGACTAATATTTATCCTAACTGTGTATACTTAACATAGACGGACAGACAATGAAAAACCTGCCAGGGACCAGCCCAACAGGGAACACACTACCAGGGAAAGCGTTAGCAGAGAACGGACAACAAGTTTACGCCGTCCAGGTAGAACACAGCGGACCAGGCCTCAGAAACTAACATCCTTGGATCGGCAAGCTAGTGAACAGACGGCACGAGATCAGAGGACAAGAGGTCAGTCGAACAGAGAGCAACTGCCCAGAGATCAGGTCACCAGGGCGTACCAGCCAAGGGAACAGGCGATCAGGGAGAGTGTAGGGGTTGATCATGATGGCCCTATGGAGCTCAAGTCCCCGCCTGTTTTACAAGACCATGCTCGAGGCCGACATGCGGAAAGGTCAAGGTCGCACAGTCGTGAACAGAGCTCTCCCAGATCTGCACACAGCACCCATTCCAGGACACACCAACACACTCAAGGTGAGGTTTTATTTGAGTTGTTGTCAAACAGGGTTAGAATTCAAACATAATCTCTTATATTCTTTTTGCATGTGGTGTGACTGCTTCCATATCCGAATAGCGCGCAAAATATAATTCCCGATAACTTCGCTAAATTATTTTTTTTAAAAATAACGTAACTGCGTTTGGTGCGTAATATGTTTTTTTTCGTAAAATGAGATCGTCTCAATTTAAATATGGTGCCATAAAGTTTCGGTTCAAAAGTGGTTGGAACATCATACTATTCATATAATTTATGGGCGTGAAATAAAAAAGTGTGTAGTGACGTATCATGAAGGAAGAAGTGTAGCAAAAAAATTGGGATTCTTAATTGTGCGTTACTTGAGTTCATATTTTGTCAAGTAATTTTAATAGATGGAATGTTAACGCATGCTGTCGCCAATGTTTGGCGAGCTGTATCTAGTTCATCTTTATTTTATGAATCATTTATATTAACTTAGTTTTTGTTCTTAGTTAGTATGTTTCTTTCTTTGTTGCTGGGTGTGTATGGCAAAATCTTCGGAAGGTTTATTGACCCCCTATCCCTTCAACCTATCAAGCTGAAACTTGGCACATGGACTCGTTGCCGATGAAAACAAATTCTTTCAAAATTTCAGCCCCACTCCAAACCCCCCAAAACCCAGCTTTTCCTGTTTTTTTTTAAGGGAACAATGAAGGAAATCTGATGAAACTAATTTCACGAAATAAAATTCCCGATAACTGCGCTAAATGAGATTCTTAAAAATATCGCAAGTGCGTTTGATACATAATATTTTCTTGTTTTTTTTGTTCTGAAATAGTTGGTGTGTTAAATGTGCGGTGTTAAAACGGGTGAGCCGTTGGTAAACTAATATAAAATAAAATAATTTTAAAATGCATATAAAGGATTTTTACATCAAAAAAAACCTTTGTTTTATGGGTTGTTCTATCATTGTTGATATTAAAATTACAATTTTTACACAACTATTTTTAGACTCCTCGTGAGCAGATTTATCTTCCTCGTTTGGTAAAACGGAAAAAGGGCGCAGTGCTTGCCCCGCCCCGGACACTGACAACCTGTCTTTAGTCGCGTGGCTAGGGGTGTGGAAGGGGCGGTCGCCCCCGTTACTTTTTTTAAAAAATTTATATGGAAGGGTGGCATTTTCAACCAATTGCAGTGTTTTTCGAGGAGAGGGGGGGGGGGCAAAAGTATCGGCCTCGCCCGGGTGGCAATAACCCTAGCTACGCCACTGCCTGTCTTGTTTTAATAGACTTACAAACCACTATTAAGTGGAGTCAATAATTGCTTTCTAATTAATTGGTGTTACTTTTATTTCCTGCCATGTCTAGCCCGGCCTGGTGTCTGCAGAGATGATCCCAAGTACGTGAAGAGCTGCAAGTATTGGTTCAAGAAAGGCTTCTGCCAGGGCAATGAACTCATCAAGACAATCTACTGTCGCTGGTCGTGTGCCTCCTGTGGTTAAATCAGGAATCTGCTCTAGTTTCAATGTGCTTCCCATTTTTTTTACGTGTACATATCAATGTGTAGGCCTACGTGTTATTTAGGCTACGGTTGTGCACGAGATGGTGTGCTATTGATGACGTGCACTTGATTATGTGCACGTGGTGATGTGCATTTGATGATGCGCACGTGGTGATGTGTGCATGACGATGTATACGGGATGATGCGTATGTGATGATGTGTACGTGATGATGTGCGCGTGATGATGTGCACGTGGTGATGTGCACGTGGTGATGAGCGTGTGATGCTATTCAGAGTCAAGGGTGAGCGGTTGTTAGGAAAAGGCTTATCATATTTGCGGTACGATTATTTTTCCCAGCACAACTCAGACATCTCTGCAATCACGACCAAACAATCGAAAGGTCAGTCAAGCGAGGGATGGTCTTAAATGACGACCGAAGAATAGTAGGTACCTGGGTGTCGACATATTGGACGCACTCCACCTCACCCCACCCGCTCAAAATACGCCTGAACATGGAGTGCGTCTCAGGCATTGACAATCAAAATGATAAAATGAAATTTCAGTCAGTCTATAAAAAAAATAGTGGGGGGGGGGGGAGGTGGGGGGTGAGGGGATGGAGGCAGGGGGATTATATGCCTATGCGTCGTTATACGCAGGTAAATACGGTAAATACTCATTGGTATTAAAAATGTTTTTGTTGTGCTTAATATGGACTTTGTATAATAAACTAGTAATGAAATAAACATTATGTAGTTAACAGCAGAACCGTGTGAGGGCCTGAGGGCTGTGGAGTGGAAAGGGGGGTGGGGGTCGGTAGAGGCACCTGCCCCGCCATTTTCAGTGGGTGGGTGCAAAAATCGTAATTTGTTGTGGGGGGGGGAGAAGATAGCGGTGCCTAAAGTCAGGCTTCCCCCAGGACGGAGCTTTTGCTTGCCAGCCCCTGGTCATCAGTGCAACACACAGAAGCTCTCGAATAAATTCATAAATAGCACAATATATCTCTAAATAGCAATAAATTCCTAATAGTAATAAAATCCTAAATAGTAATAACTTCATAAATATTGTTGTAATCATAAACAGTAATAAATTTATAAAAAGTAATAACTTCATAAAAAGTAATAAATTCGTAAAAAAGTAATAAATTCATAAAAAGTAATAAATTCATAAAAAGTAATAAATTCATAAAAAGTAATAAATTCATAAATAATAGTACATTCATAAATAGGTTTGAACTGACTGTGTTTGTGAGTGTGTGTTTTAAGGATAAAATTCTATTTAAAAAAACTAAATTGATTTAATCATATCACAGGAATTTAAAGTAATTATTTCAATATAGTATTAGTCTTCGCGAAGTTTGTAATCTTGTAGAACCTACACACCACAGGTGTTAAACAATAATCTTGTTTCAATTAAAAGCGCTATTTTGTTTTGTCAAATCTGGTTCTTGTAAGCACTATGAGTTTAAGCTATAGTCGAATTAATATCGCTTAGACCCACACCCTAGCTTTGATTTAGCGCTGTAGAGATTAAATTTAATCATCAATCATAATCAAGTCTAGTTAAAGTAAGCCTACTTGAAGTCTAGTTGAAATATACCTACTTGAAGTCTAGTTAAAGTAAGCCTACTTGGAGTCTAGTTAAAGAAAGCCTAATTGAAGTCTAGTTAAAGAAAGCCTAATTGAAGTCTAGTTAAAGAAAGCCTAATTGAAGTCTAGTTAAAGTAAGCCTACTTGAAGTCTAGTTAAAGTAAGCCTACTTGAAGTCTAGTTAAAGTAAGCCTACTTGAAGTCTAGTTAAAGTAAGCCTACTTTAGGTCTAGTTGTTACACTATGCTAGTAGCCTAATAAAATAGCTATTATAGATTTGATATAGTCACAATGAAACAATAGGCAAGCATAATTATAAGCAACATTACTGTTAAAGTCGAATTAAAGGGCAATCACCATTGAGTATAACTCAAGTTTGTTTTAAAGTAATTAACTACATTGTATAGTAGCCTATAGCTCAAGTGTAGCCTAGTAATAGTGTAGTCTGTTGTAAAGTAGCAAACTACATTGCAGAGTATAGCTCAAATATAGCCTGTCAAAAGTATGCTCGTAAAGCATGTAAAGCAGATAACTTCACTGTAGTTAATACGATTGTTACCATAAGAAATCATAAGAACCAGTAAGTAATAATGTAACTATACAATTGTTTAGAAACCAGCCAACAAAACCGGTTTTAAAGTTTCCAGCGTGTACACTAATGAACTATATAATTATACTGTAAAGGATATGTTTCAAAAAGGTCTATTGTCATTCATTTACACACAGAAGGAAATGTCTTTGTAACGTTCATCCTTTTAGTTTTGTCTCGTTGTTTTATACAGTCAACTATGCATTTCACGTTTTGAAGAATTTCATTTTATGACAATGTGAGGTGTTCAGTGTTATGATTGTTTTTGTTATGATTGTTTTTTGTTATGATTACCTTTGTTACGATTGCACAGATTTAATTCATCTGGCATGTTGTGTTATTTTTCTCATGACGTCAATGCTTTTGGGTGAAACTTTTCAAACTTTTAGAATATGACTATTCTATCAGAAAGAAAGAGATGTTGACAGAGACATTAGACACTGTGTTCAGGGCTGAGGATGATGCGAAAAATAGAAAGTTGCCACCTAAATATGTGTTGTTGTTTTTTTTTAATCTAACATTAGTGTCTAATTTGTGAATCAGATTTGAACGTCATTTGAATGCTTTGGGTTATTATTAAATATCTGAACATTCATTTTTTTTTTTGGTTACAATAGCAATTATTATCATATCATGTGAATAAAAACTTGTAACTCTTGCATGAGAAAAATGACAACATTCATTATGGAAGTGGTTGGGGGGGGGAGTGGGGGGCTACTAGGGACCTCAATCCGGGCATATATATGTAACGCTTCTGGTGTAGCTCGTGGACTGCTTCCATTTCCGGCTGCTTCGTAACAAGCTGGGTGCTTCCTTTTCAGCGTACTTGGTGTTGCGAGTAGAGTGTATTACAGATAATCCTATCCGTTTGAAAGAAAGTATGGTTCAATAATGAGTTCACTAGCGCGCAAAATATAATTATCGATAACTACGCTAAATGATTTTTTGTTTAAAATAACGCAACTGCGTTTGGTGCGTAATATTTTCTTTTCGGAAAATGAAATCGTCTCAATTTAAGTTTGGTGTCATTGGTGTAATAAATATTTTCCGTTTTTTAAATGATTGGGACATCACAATCTTTACTATAACTCGTAGGCGGGAAATAAAAAGCGTGCAGTGACGTATCATGGGGGGGGGGGGAGGGGGTAGGGAAAATTGGGATTTTTAATGTGCTTTACTTGAGTTCATGTTTTGTCTCGTAACTTAAGTAGATGGTAAGTTCACGCATTGCTGTCGTTAATGTTTGGCGAGCTCTATCTAGTAAACATATATTTAGTCGGTCGAAATGGACCATGACCACTTTGAGCATCGAATAATTTGTGCTAATTGTGAACTAGGCTGTAGGTGCGAAGATGGCTGATGGGACCGATTCTGGCACGAAGTTTTCTTGTTCAGTAAGTGCAGGGGATTAATGGGACATCTGGAATTTATTTTTAAAAAATACATTAAATTATGATTCACAGCACATTAGATGTATCCATAATTAACAACTCATCTGATGAAAAAAGCTCAAACCATCTCCTTATGCCAGATCAGATTTAACACATTCACTATTTATGAAAGGAATCTGTGCAGTTATTTTATATGCTGTTTAGCCAACCTGTACAATTAGAGGAGGGTGCTCTTTACTCTGCTTGGCCTTTAGTCTTATGAAGCCTCTTTAATAATACCTCTTAAGAACTGATTTCTCAACCACTTTAGTACTGCCTTCTCAACCACCACTACTGTCTTCTATAACTGTGGAACCTTCTTTTAAGCTGATAAACATTAACATTATCTGGGCTTAATTAATGTTATTATGTGAAGTAAGAATGTCTAATTTGAATATACCACTTTTTGCTCTTTTTTTTTAAAAACAAAATTACTTTGTGCTATAGTTTTTAATATATATTGTATTATACAAAGTTTTTTTACTATATAAATATTTGTATTATACAAAGTGTTTTACTATACAAATATATGTATTATACAAAGTGTATCTGCTTATGATAATGTAAATAGGAAAATGGGCTTGCAATGTAACCCTTTTATGTTGGTATTCATTCATAATTAATACAAAAATGTGTGATTGGATATCAGCATCACTGCAGGCTTATTTTATAGGTGATTAGATATATAAATATATTGTTTTGTATTTAGATTTGTTGTACAATATAAGCATATTGCCCGTTACTGGGTTTGTGTGTTTTAGAAAATGTTATATTAAAAAAAATTATAATATATATATCAATTGTTTATTTCTATTGAAAATTTGCACCATTTGTACAAAATAAAAAAAAACTGTTGCACTTTTTTAATACTAAATTTTCTGTTGCAATTGTTGAATTATCAGCCCCAAAGTATGCCAGATTTTATAGCCACTCTCAGTCACTTACTTTCGTGCCAGATTTTATTGCCACTCAAAGTTCAACACTTTTATGCCTGATTTTAATGCCACTCACAGTCCAACACTTTTATGCCAGATTTTATTACAACTCACAGTCCAAAACTTTTATGCAAGATTGTAACAATGAAATGAGAAAAATCAACATACACAGACATGCATGTTCTAAATAGCACCTTAGCTCTGGAAAACAAATGAGTTGGTGATGAAAGTACCTTGGCTTATTATTGAAAAGCCCTGAAGAAAATTATTTTTAATCAAGTTGGAGAAAACAGTCATGGATGGATCAGAGAGTTTTGACAATCAAGCATGAGAGAGTTTTGACAGTCACATATAAGAGAGTTTTGACAGTCAAGCATGAGAGATTTTGACAGCCACACACAAGATATTTTGACAGTCACGCATGAGAGAGTGGACAGACGCACATGAGAGAGTTTGGACAGTCAATATTCACAAGAACATAATGCATGGATTAAATAAGACAAAAACAGTCATCTATAATGTAATAAAAAATATTATTTTATCTCTTCAATGAACAATGGTATAATGCAAAAAAAAATCAGACTCCTTTACATACATTACTTTTGGTCAAGCTATAAAGTTAGAGTTAAATGGCATGTCACAGCAAATGTCAACAATCATGCCAAGGTCACATCATGATTAAAAACAATAGGCATAGCTTTGGAACATAAAGACACATAATAATATTTCCTTAAGCAAAACAAATTGCAACTGGTTCTTTTTTATGTTGCTAATTCTTAAATTAAGATGAAACTCACAATAAATCATCAAATCTGCTGATTGCCCAATTGTTGTTTCAGGTGGTAGATGGGATGGGATGGGGAGACAACCGAGCATGCAAATAAAGTACTGTTATAATGGAAGAGACCTTTTCTTTTTTACATTACAATGAAATGATGGCTCCCAACTTTAACAATTGACAATGGTGGCTCCTTCAAGGTGATGTTGCTCTGGCTCCAACACTGTTGATAAACTTTAACAATGCTAGAACTCCACAGAGAAAGTATTGCTCAGGGAATACATAATAGAAAAGAGATCAGTCATCCCTGCATTTAAATAATCAATTTATACTTGATGTTGAACTCTTCTGAACAAAAGGTAACTGTTAAAATTGAAGGATATTTATTTTTAAAGAGGCAAATAAGATATTTTAATTAGAAAGATGGTAAGAAAACAAAAAAAATTAAATCGGGCAACATTTGAAAAATATATACACACACGCAACTTCATGTCTCTATTAGAAATACAGTAAAGTTGGCACTGCTCATATTCGTAAAATTGAACTAACATTGCTATATGGTGTCACAAAACTCTGAGTAAAGAAAATAAAATAAAACCTGGCATTTAATGTCACTAACATACCTTTTAGTATTTTTTTTTTTGGTAAAAATAATTGATCAATTTACATTACCGTATAAAAATAAACCTGGCATATGTAAAATATCATCAACTTTTATTACAGTCTGTAAAGTATGAATTCAGGCAGACTTGATATTTAGGTGTTCGAAAGCCTGACAAACATGCTGTTGAAATCACAGCAATTTGCAATGAACCAAGAAGCTGCACACAGGAGAATATGGCCTTGTGGTACAAAAATGTCAAACATCTAAATATAGTCTATAAACAATAGTACCAGTTAACAGTGGGATGTCTGTGTCATCACAAATGTCTTAGAATAAATATGTCTCCAATGAAAGATTCAACGTTTTAAGAAAAACATCAGCTTTTTTCAACTCAGGACAAGAATCCAGTTTACATTGATAAAACATTTTTTACATTCTTCATCATTTAAAATGTACAAAGAATGTACATAATTGGGGTGTTACATTTTTAAATATTTTTTTGTTCTTTTTTTTCTTTACACAATTAATTATTAATATTGAAAACATCTTAGTTTGCATGAACTGAATAGAAATAAAGACAACTAGACCTGCTGCCTATCTAGTCATCAAATCATTCTCAATTTGCAATTAGGACAAAATGTAAAGCGTTCAGTGGCTAAACACAAGTTGAATTATATACCACAATTGTTCCAGAACTATTCAATTGTTAAGACAGACAGTATTTTTTTAAAACCTACTGTATCTCTATTTATAATATTTAAAAAACTTTTCATAGACACTTAAGGCAAGACTATGTTACAAAACTTTATGGTATGATTTTAGTCAACTTAAAAACCAAAATGTTATTAATAAACTCATTGATTAAGTAAAGAGAGTTGAGTTGAATTGTATTGGGATAACAGCATGTAGGAATGTAGTGAAAAACAAAATCCTTTTCTTTCAGTTAATAAATTATTTCATTTGATTCACTGTTGCTTTTTGTTTTTTTTATTCTCTAAAATAAAATTTTTATTTAAAAAATCCCTAAGAACATAATTATCAGGTACGCAGTTTGAAAGTCAAACGTCTTTGTCCATCACTGAGCAAACTGGCCGCGGAACTCATCAAAGATGTAGCTGGGCACAAAAGACTCCACCGACTGGAAGAAATAAACAATTTCATTTAATAAAACCAATGCAGAGCTTAAATAAATCTATTCATGATAAGTTTTGTCATTTTAAAATGGCTATCAATTGATCTATCATCCTCTACATTTCAGAAACTAATGATGATTAAGTTGATGTCTACACTTCAGGAACTAGATATGATTAGGTTGAAAACTGCTCTATACTTCAGCAACTAGATATGATTATGTTGATTTCTACACTACAGAAACTAGATATGATTATGTTGATTTCTACACTACAGAAACTAGATATGATTATGTTGATTTCTACACTACAGAAACTAGATATGATTATGTTGATTTCTACACTACAGCAACTAGATATGATTATGCTGATTGGTGGATAAAATTGATTTTTTAAAAACTAACCTCAGTAACTAAAGTCTTGCATTGTCTATGTAATAAACATTTTAGTTATAAGCATTCAGCTAAGTTGGTTTTTGTATTTAGTAGCCATCCTCAAAATGTTGAGGACACACAAAAAAAATGAAAACTGCTTTTGGTTATCTTCAGGTTCTGTTTTTTTACATGAATAAGTTTGTGTTCTTTATTTTTTTAAAAATAGTGTTATACTTGCAGATTAGAGCTAAGATGTTTATAATAGAGAAACTTCTTTGGTACCGGTACTCAACACTAACCTTTCTTGAAAGACCGCTGTAGAAAATAAAATCTTCTAAAAACACCAGGACATTAAGCACATCTTGGCTCATGGTTGGATCCTTAACACTGAGGATGATATTAGTAAGTATGCAAATCACATGGGGGTATAGTGGGGTTGGGGGGGGGGGGAATCACTTCCAGAGTTGCAGGTCTCATTCACCGGACATTGTTCTATGCTGACCTTGGATCAAATATATTTCCAAGAAATATTGTCGTAACTATCAGGTAATCAAAAAAATTTCAGGGGGTCAAACATAGAAGAGGTCCTCAAATCATGGTAGTGTACTTTTTCAACCTAGCCAAAGATCAAACTCATTCATTTTTTTCTATAACCTTTACCCTTTTTAGGATATAAACATAATATTAATTTAGGTTATCTAGATAATCTTAATTAAGAACATCTTTATAATCTTAATTTAGGTTATCCACATAATCTTAATTCAACTCATGGCCACACATTTTATAAAATTTTTAGTTAAAATTTCAAGTTGGATGATTTCACTCTAAAGTACCAGCAAGGGTTTGGATGATTTCACTCTACAGTACCAGCAAGGGTTTGGATGATTTCACTATACAGTACCAGCAAGGGTTTTTTGGATGATTTCACTATACAGTACCAGCAAGGGTTTGGATGATTTCACTATACAGTACCAGCAAGGGTTTTTTGGATGATTTCACTATACAGTACCAGCAAGGGTTTTTGGATGATTTCACTATACAGTACCAGCAAGGGTTTTTTGGATGATTTCACTATACAGTATCAGCAAGGGTTTTTTGGATGATTTCACTATACAGTATCAGCAAGGGTTTTTTGGATGATTTCACTATACAGTATCAGCAAGGTTTTTTTTCGGATGATTTCACTATACAGTATCAGCAAGGGTTTTTTGGATGATTTCACTATACAGTATCAGCAAGGTTTTTTTTCGGATGATTTCACTATACAGTATCAGCAAGGGTTTAGATGATTTCACTATACCGTATCAGCAAGGGTTTGGGTGATTTCACTATACAGTACCAGCGAGGTTTTTTTGTGGATGATTTCACTATACAGTACCAGCAAAGATTTGGATGATTTCATTCTAAAGTACCAGCAAGGGTTTTCTTGATTTCACTCTACAGTACCAGCAAGAGTTTCAGTATACAAACAAATTGTTCACTTGGCAGGCAGAAAGCAGACTTCAAAAATGAAAGCTTGTTTCCTTCATAAATTTCATTGTGAGTCTCTATCTGGGTTTTTGTCATTGGAATGTCCATTTCCAAAGTTTAAAAAAAAAATTAAAAATCTGGAAATTCTTTTACATGTAGCCAAGGAGCATCTACAGTTTTATTAATGTGAATTTAGCAAATAACCCAGAACTCAAACTTTATCTTGTAATGGTGAAACACATCAAAAATACAGAGCACGACTCACCTGTTGATAGATTCCACAATGGACCGTGCATATTGACCAAGGAATGCCAGGTACAGTTTGGTGTTGTCACTGTGGCTCTGTTTGAGCAGTGTGTACACACCAACAACAAAGGGTGGTGCATCTAGCGGATCAGTTGGTTTCTTACAGCTCAGGGAATCTTAAACACAAAGAGAACAGACAATAGAGACAGTCAGAATTAACGTCTCAGTGTGAAACAAGATTGCCTTTGAGACATCAAAGTAGATTGCTCATGTTCACCTGCATCGGAATTAAGGACGCTAACTGAAAACCAGTGTTGAAACAGAAAACTATTTAGACTAATGATTTTCAAAAATTGGCTGCCAAATTTATTTTATCATGATTTTAAAAATTCAGATTTTTTTTCATTTTTTCAGTAAACACAATGATAAGCTAACAGTGAAGTATACCACAGTTACTGGCATCTTGTGAGAAACTATACCCTTGGATTTTAGAACGGTCACTTCCGAAACTAGATGATCGCCTAATTATATGAAATCTGAAATTGTTTTTTTTTGGGCACGTGTGCAGTCTGCGGTCAGTTTAAAAGTTTGTATTGTTTGCCTGCAACTTGTAACTACCACACTTGTAACTACCACACTTGTAACTACCACACTTGTAACTACCACACTTGTAACTACCACACTTGCAACTACCACACTTGCAACTACCACACTTGTAACTACCACACTTGTAACTACCACACTTGTAACTACCACACTTGCAACTACCACACTTGCAACTACCACACTTGCAACTACCACACTTGTAACTAACACACTTGTAACTAACATACTTGTAACTGCCACACTTGTAACTACCACACTTGTAACTACCACACTTGTAACTACCACACTTGTAACTACCACACTTGTAACTACCACACTTGTAACTACCACACTTGTAACTACCACAAGCAGCCCTGGGGTTTGGTGTGATGGGCCAAGTGCTGGAACCGAACTGTTGTATGAAAATCCTACAGGCGAGACAGTGGATTTATGACCTCTAAAAATAGACTTCTGCTTATGAGCTTATGTATGTCCAAATATGACCTTGTTGTGCAGACAGTTAAATGCTTTGTAAAAAAACTAAAACCATTTTAAATAGGATTTCTAAAATTAGGAGCAATAGTCTCAGAAGAAGGCTAAAAGCCCGAACTGATGTCTAGGATTGCGCAGACTACAACAGCACTAAAGAGGCTCAAGAAAATATGGAATGACAAAAATATAGCCCTCAGCACCAAAATCAGGCTGATGCGCTCATTGGTCCGCTCCATTTGCCTGTATGCCTGCGAATCCTGGACATTAACAGCCGATCTTGAAAGGAAAATAAAGGCTGTGGGGATGAGATGCTTCAGAAGCATTTTTGGCATCTGCTATAGAGACAATATCTCCAATGATAAGGTGAAAGAAAAGGTTCGACAGGCAATTGGGGAGTACGATGAACCTACTGGTGACTGTGAAAAAACGCAAACTACAATGGTACGGCCACGTAACAAGGAAACAAACGCATGCCAAAGAAATATTGCAGGGCACCACAAGAGGAGGGAGAAGAAGAGGAAGACAAAGAAAAAGATGGGAGGATAACATCAAAGAATTGACAGGACTAACACTGGGCGATGCTGTGCGTAGTGCAGAAGACAGAGACGAATGGAGGAGGATGGTTCACATGTCATTTTGTGGCGCCCCAACGGTCCAAGGACTAAGGGACATGATGATGATGATGACAAAACCCTAACCCAAATTGCTACAAATTTCTTGTATTATAACCCTATTGGGAATGTCATGTAAAAAAAAAAGAACTAACTAAAAAAACAAAAAAGTTGATACCTAATAAAAATGAATTGCATGAAATTGCAATAAGTCTACTTGATGATTGGATATGCTAATGTTACCTAGAGATTTGGTGTAGATCAGCTTGTTCAAGTGGGAGACTGTCATAAGGAAGGTGAACAGGGGAAAATAAGGCAGCCTCTCAGTTGTGATGTAGATCTGAAAGCATAAAGGTGTTTCTTCAAGGTTAATATCCAACTCAATTTCTTATGATAAAACAAAAACACAATTTATTAAAAAGTTTTGTTACAAGCTCATGAATCGTCTGACATATTTTATTATTTACTGTTGATCTGTCACTGACAGTTTTCAATCTCTTGGCAAGTCAGTTAATTTGACTCCATTGACAGTAGATTTTGTTCAGTGACTATTTCATCTAAGTTATAACATCAATGCCAACACTTAACAGACTACTGACCTTCCTCAAAGGATTGTGAAAGCCAGCAGCCTCCACGTAACTGGTCAGTTCATACATCAGTGGGTTGTTCTCATTGGGGTAAGGTTTGGCTGGATCTTTGTAATGCTGCTCTATGTCTGCTAGTAGAGCACTGAAACAGGGTACCATAATTAGACTTTTATCTTTAGGATTCTCTAATTTTTTATACTGCTGAATAATCCTGCAAGCTAAAACATTAGCTAACTTGGTATATGTCATGAGATAACTTGGTATTTGTCATTAGATAACTTGGTATTTGTCATTAGATAACTTGGTATTTGTCATTAGATAACTTGGTATTTGTCAATAGATAACTTGGTATTTGTCATTAGATAACTTGGTATTTGTCATTAGATAGCTCAGTATTTGTCATTAGAAAGCTCGGTATTGGTCACAAGATAACTTGTTATTTGTCATTAGATAACTTGGTATTTGTCATTAGATAACTTGTTATTTGTCATTAGATAACTTGGTATTTGTCATTAGATAACTTGGTATTTGTCATTAGATAACTTGGTATTTGTCATTAGATAGCTTGGTATTTGTCATTAGATAACTTGGTATTTGTCATTAGATAACTTGGTATTTGTCATTAGATAGCTTGGTATTTGTCATTAGATAGCTTGGTATTTGTCATTAGAAAGCTCAGTATTGGTCGCAAGATAACTTGGTATTTGTCATTAGATAACTTGGTATTTGTCATTAGATAACTTGGTATTTGTCATTAGATAACTTGGTATTTGTCATTAGATAACTTGGTATTTGTCATTAGATAACTTGTTATTTTTCATTAGATAACTTGGTATTTGTCATTAGATAACTTGGTATTTGTCATTAGATAGCTTGGAATTTGTCATTAGATAGCTTGGTATTTGTCATTAGAAAGCTCGGTATTGGTCACAAGATAACTTGGTATTTGTCATTAGATAACTTGGTATTTGTCATTAGATAACTTGGTATTTGTCATTAGATAACTTGGTATTTGTCATTAGATAACTTGGTATTTGTCAATAGATAACTTGGTATTTGTCATTAGATAACTTGGAATTTGTCATTAGATAACTTGGTATTGGTCACAAGATAACTTGTTATTTGTTGCTAGATAGCTTGGTATTTGTCATTAGATAACTTGGTATTTGTCACTAGATAACTTGGTATTTGTCACAAGATAACTTGGTATTTGTCACAAGATAACTTGGTATTTGTCATCAGATAACGTGGTATTTGTCACCAATTAAGTCTTTACTGTCATTAAAGGAGTTTGCAAATGTCTATTTGTTTATGTGCTGAAAATGAATATGAATAATGCAATAAAAAAAAAAATTAACATTTCCATATCTTTGGATCAATAAAGAATCTTATTTTGTAAAGCAAAAGTTAGGCAGTTTCACTCTCTATAGTTTCCAGAAGTCCACCTTAAATCATTGGGGAGGGGGGAGGAGGAGGAGAGAGAGAGGAGGAGGAGGAGTTACCTGGGCAAAACATTCTTGGGGCGCAAAATTTCAAAAGAAACAAATTTAAAAAACCTTCTTTTTGCCCTATAATTACAAAGAAGTGGATTCAAATGTATGCATATTTATCCCATGACATGGGTTCATAAATAGCAAGTTTGAATGGGCATCACAGGAAAATCAAAACTGGACAGCTGGAAGGGATTCAAGGACTGCTGACATTGCAGGGGTCAGAGGGGAACAGTGTGCGCAGGGATGAGACTCGTGGCACTCCTCCCTACACAGTTTCTCCATGCTACACGAGGCAAACAGAATGCTGCAGAGCACAAAAGACAAGCCAAAAAAAGCCTGGGTTAACTTTGTACCTGGCGTTGTCCCATGCCCCCCTCTGCACCAGAACATTTTGTGCTAAAACACTTCTGAGAGAGCTGCACTGGCTGCCGGTCCGCGCTCGCATAGAGTACAAAATTGCAACTTTGTGCTACCGCTGCTTACATGACCTGGCGCCATCTTATCTCAAAGCACTCATGACGCCTTATGTACCCACTAGAGAGCTCTGCTCATCCGATAGTGGCACAATATCGATATCGTGTGTTCGCCTTGAGACTTACGGAAAGCGCACTTTTGCATTTGCCGGTCCAACAATTTTGAACGCACTTCCAGTCGCTCTCAGAAACAGCCAGACACTGGAGTCCTTTAAAACCGATTTAAAAACACATCTATTCTGGGGTGATGCTATCTACCATCTTTTTCAGTTAATGTATATTGGCCTGTGTTGCTTATGGTTGAAACGGGATGAAAGACTTTGAATTGGTATGCTCATATGTAGTTTTATGTTGTTGCGTCTGTTTTTTAAATGTGGTAAATTTCAGATTGTTTTTATTTCTCTTTATAATATGGTTGACTTTGTACTTGGATTCGAGCTTTTGGGGATGAAGCGTGTTTTTCAAATAAACTTTATTATTATTATTAGAATCGGCCTGCTAGAATGCGCAGCTACAGACAGCTTCATCTCCAGCATCAATCAGATGTTTAAAATGGTCATGATCGATTTTTAATGGACCAACAAACTATCCGAGTGTTCAATATTTGCCTCACCCAGGTGCTGGTGACCCATTCCGCACCCCTAACAGCAATAATTAACATCGACAAATATAAAGAAAAATACTTTAAATCTCACTTGTTTAATGTCTGCAGAGAACTGGCAAGAAACTTGGAGTCAAATTTGCAAGATGTGTTTAGTTCATAGGCGATTTGTCTCCTTAGTAGCTGCATCTGTCCAACCTGGCACAAATGATTGTATACAGTGATAAATGATTTTTTCAAAATTTTAAAGTGTACAGTACAAAAATCTATGTCATAACTTGTGAAGATTACATTTGAGTTAAAATGTTGTTCCTCCACAATGATGGCATTGCTGTGTAATGACTGGCATTCATTAATATAATAGGACTTAACTGGGTGCATTTTTTTTCTTCACACTGTCCAGGCATCTTGAGAAAATACCTGGTAGGTCCAAGTGTTACAGAAAGAGTTAACTTCTCCTTTTCTATAATATATGCTGTTCTTTAAACAATAGTCCTACAGAGAGTCCCACACCATAAATGCTTTCATTGAAACAAGAGTCCTACAGACAGTCCTCAACCACACTCATCGCTCTTTACTGATTGATGTAATAGTCAACCCCGAAAAAAATTCAACCTTCTTACCTGAGCTCAATCTTCACGCATGACATTCACAGCTTGACAGCTCTTTTTTTTTTTTCCACTCATTACTACTAATATAAAACATGTTGAGTTGGGGAAGGGCGGGTTTTGAAAAGGAAGCAGCCACACAACAAGCAAACTGTATAATAGAGATTTTCACCCTGAGAATGATGTCCATATAAGATCCCAACAACTTGCTTGTCTTGGAGATGGCTTGGGGGTAGAACTTCTGGGGTTGGCCTGAAATGTTAAGATATTCCACAATATTTTAAGAATATAAAAGAATAAGTGTTTGATAACTTTGATAACTTATTTCTTTCTCAGACAGGATTTCCGACAGCTAGATACCTTTCTACAATTTCTTATCTTTTTTTTCTTTCTATGTTTAAGTTCCTTTTTGACAATATCTTAAGCTTTTCAAACTGTATAGATTATTTATGCATTGCATAACCAACATGAAGTGGGTTCACAGAGCCAGTAAGATAAATGAATATTACCAATAAATCCCTAGAGTCCGTTCACACCAATGAGTTGCATAAAGTATTGAGTTAGTGTATTACCAATAAGTCCCTGGAGTGGGTTCACGGAGCGAGTCAGTTGAGCAAAGTAATCCATCCAAGATTTGTCTTTCAGCACAGAACGTTTGAGAGAGGTTTGAAAGTTCTGCAGCTCTTTGACAATCATAAAACACAGAAGTCTGTCCAGTCCAGATAAACCAAAGCTGCCCACTGCCCTCTGGATGACAAGATTAACAAGTTATAACTTTCCATTCAAGTAAAACACAGGTTCTTGTAGTCCGACTTATTTCAGAGAAGTTTTCAAAAGTCCTATAACATTACTTTTAAATGAATCATTTTATATTATTGTTTCACATCCCCTGCATCAATAATGTGTTGTGAAAATGTTTCAATTTATCGGATAACATTGAAATTTATTGGACAAGAAGCATTTTTACTATAATGAATGTAGACTTGTAATTTCTTTTTTGTAATGCTGAAATGGCAATTAAAAACATCCCTTAACAAGCTGACAATGCAATTAAATATATCCTTCAAGAAAGCTGTTACTTTTGTTAAGTTTATCTCAAATAAAACACAACATTTGTGTCTTTGTAACTGGAATAATAATTACAATATTGGCGTTTCACTGTCTGTGTAACTTGGTAGTTAAGGAATAGTGTAGGTTCAATGGAAAAAAAATTGCAATTATCCATCACTCTGGTTATGAAATGGTGTATACTTATTTATATATAGAGTTTATTAAGATTTCATTATTGTGTGAGAGGAGAATTATAAGAATTGATTACAGATAACTACACGTCATTCCTAAAAATTACCACTAAACACAGCCATAAACTAGCACAATAATGGTACATTGAGATAGTCAAGTAAAGGCAGCAATCAAGGTCTAGGAATTAAATTTTTCCTATCAAAAATGGTTAACTTGCATGAATTTTCTCAAACAAAGTCCTGTTGGTGATTTCTTGTTTTGTTTTCATATCATACCACGCCTTCATCTGGTCCACATAAGATGTTGATCTATTGAGGAGAAATTTGTAATACAACAATGAACACATTCAAGTTACAGGATCATCATACATATTTTTAAAACATAACACTGTTTTAATCCATTGGTTATAATTAAGGACTACGTTCAAGCTGAGCGAGGAAATAGTAAAACAAGCTATGTGGAAGCTTGAAATATACAAACAGGACAATAAAAAAGATCGTTTCGGCCAAGAGCCTCCCTCAGCAGACAGGATAAATGAAGAAACAAGAAGTAGACTGGGATGGTCTGAGGAGTGCAACGACGGAGCTGAGCTCAAACATGCAGGAGCTACAGGGAGCAGCGACAACAGATGAGCTGTGGGTAAAGCTTATGACAATAATCACTGATGCAGTGAATAAATTCATACCACACAAGACCACCAAACTTAAGATAAATCAGCCATGGGTCACCACTGAAATCCGTAGGCTCATCCACAGGAGAGACCGCCAATACAAACGAATGAAGAAAAATGGCTCAGTTGAACTGAGAGAGGAGGTACTGAGGCTCCACCGAATGGTTATTGCTCAGATCTTATTGGAACCACCTGAAGGCACCTTCTCAGAGGAAGACACGCTGACCAAAGGTATCAAGAACAAGCGCTTCTGGAGCTACATGAAGCACCAAAAGTCCTCAAACGCTGGAGTTTCCCCCCAGAGATGTGATGGCCATTTGACTTCTGACCCAAAAAACACAAGCTGACGTACTCAATCAGCAGTTCCAGTCAGTCTTTGGCGACGGTAAAGAGTACTCGGAGCCTGAATTCCATCTGAAGACCAAAATGATGAACAGAGCCTACCCTGTCATGGAAGATATACAGATATCAGAGCAGATATCAAAACCATTAACCCCTACAAAGCATGTGGTCCTGACAACATCAAACCACGAGTGCTCAAAGAATTAGCCAAAGAAATCGCTCCTGCGCTGACAATCCTCTTCCAATCGTCACTGTGCACAGGAAATGTTCCAGCAGACTGGAGAACACCGCATGTAACTCCAATCAACAAGAAAAGGGAGCATTCTGACCCTGCCAACTATCCTCCGATATCTCTCACCAGCGTGGTCTGCAAACTGTTGGAGCACATAATTTTAAGCACAGTCATGAAGCATCTTGAAAGCCAAAATATACTCAATGACTGTCAACATGGCATCCGAATCAAATAGATCATGTGAGACCCAGATCCTTGATTTTGTAGAAGACTTGATGACCAATCTGGAGAACCACAAGCAAACTTACGTGCTGGTGATGGACTTCGCAAAGGCATTTGACCGTGTGAATCAGAGTTTGCTTCTACACAAACTCCAGATTAGAGGCCGACCGAATTTCGGCTTTGGCTTCGGTTTCGGCGCGGAAAGTGGCCATTTTATCCCTTTCGGCCAATTTTCGGTTTCTGCCAAAACTGGAAAGTTAACTTTCGGCTTCATTTCGGTTTCGGCCGAAAGAGAAAAGTTAACTTTCGGTTTTTCTTCGGTTTCGGCCGAAATTGACTTAGACTTTCGGCCATCCGGCCGAAAGTGACTCAGGTTTTCGGTCATTTAATACTAAGCAAAAGCGATATTTAACAACAAACTAAGCGACATTTAAGAACAAATTAAGCGATCTTTGAGAACAAACTAAATGATATTTAACAACAAACTAAGCGACATTTAAAAACAAACTTATCGATCTTTAAAAAAAACTAAGCGATCTTTAAGAACAATCTAAGCGATCTTTAATAACAAACTAAACGATTTTTAAGACCGAACTAAATGATCTTTAAGAACAAAACAAATGATCTTTAATGATTTATAAGAATAAACTAAGTGATCTTTAACAGAAGACTAAATGTTCGTTAGGAACAAACTGAAAGATCTTTAAGAACAAACTAATTGATCTTAATGAACAAAATCAATTATCTTTAAGAACAAACTAAGCGATCTTTATGAAAAAACTAAGCGAATTTACAACAAACTAAGCGATCTTTATGAACAACTTAAACGATCTTTAAGAACAAATAAAGCTATCATTAACAAAAACTAGACGATCTTTAACAACAAACTAATGCGATCTTTAAGAACAAATAAAGCAATCATAAAAAAAACTAGATGATCTTTAACAACAAACTAATGTGATCTTTAAGAACAAACTAAACGATCTTTAACAACAAACCAGGCGATCTTTATGAACAAACTAACCGATCTTTAAGAAAAAAATAAAGAGATCATTAACAAAAACTGGACGATCTTTAACAACAAACTAAGCGATCTTTTACAACAAACTAAAAAATCTTTAACAACAAACTAAACGATCTTTAACAGCAAACTAAACGATCTTTAACAACAAACTAAGCAATCTTTAACAACAAAACTAAACGATCTTTAACAACAAACTAAGCGATCTTTAAGAACAAACTAAAGGGTCTTTAACAACAAACTAAGCGATATTTTAGAACAATCTAAGCGATCTTTATGAACAAACTCACCGATCTTTAAGAACAAACTAACCGATCAATAACAACCAACTAAACGATCTTTAAAAACAAATTAAGTGATCTTTTAGAACCATATTTTTTAGAGACCCGGTTTAAAAAAATAATATTTTGCATTAATTTCCCCTCCTCCCCCCCTCTCCCCAATTTTTGCCAAATTTTCTCCTACCATACAAATTTGAAAAAATTGTAAAGCAATTTAAATTACTTTTATATTAAAATGGTAAAATCCAAAGTATTCATTAGATCAAGGGTATCAAACTCAAATTATGGGGGAATTGCCAAATTTTCTCCTACCATACAAATTTGAAAAAATTGTAAAGCAATTTAAATTACTTTTATATTAAAATGGTAAAATCCAAAGTATTCATTAGATCAAGGGTATCAAACTCAAATTATGGGGGAAGGGGGCGCAGGAGGTAGTGTCTGAATAAGAGTGGGCCGCATCAAATAATCCACAAAAAAGCGATTACAACTGTTACAATCTGGTCAACCTTTATAAATAACAATGAAATAATTAAGGGATCTCAAGAACTACTCACTGTTGCCAGAGAATTGGCATACAAAAATATATAGTCATTAAAAAAAAAAATCAGAATTAGATTAGTCTGTGAGATCGACTGAAACCGTCGTGGAGAGTCACGTTATATATATGAGAATGGGGGAAACGGGCCGGCCGATTTACACTAAACTTTTCTGTCATGTAGCGGGCCGCCAAATATCGTCTTGAGACCCCTAAATTAGATGTTTATTTATTAATATTTACGATTATCTCATTTTTATAAAAAGAATGTAAATATTTATACTTTCCCACATAATTTTCGATGTAAGCAGAATGTATGCGGGAACGAATTTCAAAATATCTTAATATTTCATTTTCGGTTTCGGCTTCGGTTTCGGCCAAAATTCATTTTAAACTTTCGGTCTTTTTTCGGTTTAGGCCGAAAGTCATTTTAAACTTTCTGCCTATTTTCAGCTTCGGCCGAAATCAGAAAATCACTTTCGGTCTGTCTCTACTCCAGATGTATGGGATCCAAGGCACCACTAAAACATGGATCTCTAGCTTCCTCAGCCACCGATGCCAAGCAGTAGTGATGGACGGTACAAGCTCCTCCTTTGTGAATGTGAAGTCAGGGGTCCCCCAGGGATCAGTGTTAGGCACCTGTTTGTTCCTAGCATACATAAATGACCTACCCGAGAAACTGACATCCCAAGCAAGACTGTTGGCAGATGACACAGCAGTGTATAGGATGATCGCCAACAGATCTGACCAGGACCAGCTACAACAGGATCTCAATCCGTTAGCTGAGTGGTAGATGAGCTGGGACATGGAATTTCACCCCTATCAGTCTCTAGAAGTTGTACTCCTCTACACTACCAATACAAACTGCATGGCCATATACTTGAGACAGTTTCCTCAGTAAAGTACCTGGGTGTTACCATTCAAAGAGAGGTCCGCTGGGACGAGCATATTAACAATGTATGTAACAAAGCAAACAAGACCCTGGGGTTCTTAAAGCGTAACCTGAAGATTGGCAACTCCTGTGTAAAAGAAAGAGCATATGAGGAGCCCGCTTGCAAAAGGTACTAAGTCCAACCAAACTTATTTTTCAGGAAAATGGATTTTGTGTTACAACTTAACTAGCATTTTGAAGGTTGATCTACATTTTCTATTTAAAATAAATGCATTTAGAACCTTCTGAACGTTAAGATGAGAGATTCAAAATGTGTTTTTTTAACAATAGATTAAGAAAAGGGCACTAACTAATTTTTTTCAAAATGTGTTTTTTTTAAATAGATTAAGAAAAGGGCACTAACTAATTTTTTTCAAAATGTGTTTTTTTTAAATAGATTAAGAAAAGGGCACTAACTAATTTTTTTCAAAATGTGTTTTTTTAACAATAGATTAAGAAAAGGGCACTAACTAGTTTTTTTCAAAAAACAGACTTAGTACCATTTGCAACTGGGCTCCTCATATAAAGCCTTTGTCCGTCCGATTTTAGATTATGCATCTTCAGTCTGGGACCCATTTACCCGGAAGAGCATTGACAGGTTGGAGGCGGTTCAGCGACGGGCGGCTCGCTTTGTCCTGAACCGATACAGGAATACCTCTTGTGTTGGCAGTATGCTGGAAACACTAGGCTGGTCACCATTGGAGGAACGACGACGACAATCCAGGCTCTCCATGATGTACAAAATAAATAATGGGCTGGTCCACTGCTCCAGTATTAAACAGAAACTCGTCCCTCTCCCCCATAGACAGCGACGAGGCCATGACAGGCAATTCTGGCTCATACCAGCAAGAAGCCAGTATAGGAACTGCTCATTCCTGCCCAAGACAATCGGGGACTGGAAAAATCTTTCAAAAGAAACAGTGGAGGCGACAACACTAGACACATTTGCGTCTATTGCCTCAAGCCTTCCAACCCCCATTGCATGATTCCTTCACAAAGTAGCACTTGTAATCATTGAAATATCCTCATCAGCACCAGGTACAGAAACATTGCAAATCCCCTCTACATGCATAGGAGTCAAAATGATCAATAAATTGATCGTGGGCCCTTAAGATATAGAAGAAGAGTAGAAAGTAGTTCTAAAACTTAAGTGTTTGGAGTTTGCAATTAATTAATTGTTTACAATAAAGTTAAAAACATTCCCATAAAATGATTTTAAAAATAATATAGGAAAGAGCAGTTATTTTTTATTATTAAGTGTTGCCATGGAATTATGTAGCTAAATAATTGATCTATTCCAAGATTTATACAAGTTCTTACTTGGGGTCAGTGATTCTGATAATTTCTTTGGCCAGACGTCCTATGAAATTGACACTTTCATCGACAGGAGCAAACCGTGGGATGGGGATGGCTGTGGACTGGTAGATGCTCTCCCAGTCTTGGACCTGGAAAATAACATAACTTCTCATTAAGTAAAATCACCTGCCTTCTTCTTCTTCTTCTTTATTTTAAGGGCCCACGATCAATGAATTGATCATTCTGGCTCCTATGTTTCAGAGAGGTTTGCGATGTTACTGTTCATGGGTTTCAATGGGATACTTCACTGGTTGCAAGGGCGACTCAGCAGTGGTGTTATGAACTGGGGGTTGGAATACAGGAGGCAATAGACACAAATGTATCGAGTGTAGCCGCCTCAACTGTTGCTTTTGGAAGCTTGTTCCAGTCCCCTATTGTCTTCGGCAGGAATGAGGAGCTTCTGTACTTCGTTCTTGTTTTTACCAGCCGGAACTGTTTGTCGTGACTTCGTCGCAGTCTGNTATAGTTGAAGGTATCTGTAGCTAAGTTATAGTTGAAGGTATCTGTAGCTAAGTTATAGTTGAAGGTATCTGTAGCTAAGTTATAGTTGAAGGTATCTGTAGCTAAGTTATAGTTGAAGGTATCTGTAGCTAAGTTATAGTTGAAGGTATCTGTAGCTAAGTTATAGTTGAAGGTATCTGTAGCTAAGTTATAGTTGAAGGTATCTGTAGCTAAGTTATAGTTGAAGGTATCTGTAGCTAAGTTATAGTTGAAGGTATCTGTAGCTAAGTTATAGTTGAAGGTATCTGTAGCTAAGTTATAGTTGAAGGTATCTGTAGCTAAGTTATAGTTGAAGGTATCTGTAGCTAAGTTATAGTTGAAGGTATCTGTAGCTAAGTTATAGTTGAAGGTATCTGTAGCTAAGTTATAGTTGAAGGTATCTGTAGCTAAGTTATAGTTGAAGGTATCTGTAGCTAAGTTATAGTTGAAGGTATCTGTAGCTAAGTTATAGTTGAAGGTATCTGTAGCTAAGTTATAGTTGAAGGTATCTGTAGCTAAGTTATAGTTGAAGGTATCTGTAGCTAAGTTATAGTTGAAGGTATCTGTAGCTAAGTTATAGTTGAAGGTATCTGTAGCTAAGTTATAGTTGAAGGTATCTGTAGCTAAGTTATAGTTGAAGGTATCTGTAGCTAAGTTATAGTTGAAGGTATCTGTAGCTAAGTTATAGTTGAAGGTATCTGTAGCTAAGTTATAGTTGAAGGTATCTGTAGCTAAGTTATAGTTGAAGGTATCTGTAGCTAAGTTATAGTTGAAGGTATCTGTAGCTAAGTTATAGTTGAAGGTATCTGTAGCTAAGTTATAGTTGAAGGTATCTGTAGCTAAGTTATAGTTGAAGGTATCTGTAGCTAAGTTATAGTTGAAGGTATCTGTAGCTAAGTTATAGTTGAAGGTATCTGTAGCTAAGTTATAGTTGAAGGTATCTGTAGCTAAGTTATAGTTGAAGGTATCTGTAGCTAAGTTATAGTTGAAGGTATCTGTAGCTAAGTTATAGTTGAAGGTATCTGTAGCTAAGTTATAGTTGAAGGTATCTGTAGCTAAGTTATAGTTGAAGGTATCTGTAGCTAAGTTATAGTTGAAGGTATCTGTAGCTAAGTTATAGTTGAAGGTATCTGTAGCTAAGTTATAGTTGAAGGTATCTGTAGCTAAGTTATAGTTGAAGGTATCTGTAGCTAAGTTATAGTTGAAGGTATCTGTAGCTAAGTTATAGTTGAAGGTATCTGTAGCTAAGTTATAGTTGAAGGTATCTGTAGCTAAGTTATAGTTGAAGGTATCTGTAGCTAAGTTATAGTTTAAGTTTACATTTTGTCTTCTCACTTTATTTTTAAAGTTAGTGAAGAATTACATATTTCAGTTCTAGGAACAGATCTACTTATTGGCACCTAAGAACAGATCTACTCATTGGCACCTAAGAACAGATCTACTTATTGGCACCTAAGAACAGATCTACTTATTGGCACCTAAGAACAGATCTACTTATTGGAACCTAAGAACAGATCTACTTATTGGCACCTAAGAACAGATCTACTTATTGGGACCTAAGAACAGATCTACTTATTGACACCTAAGAACATATTTACTTATTGACACTAAAGACCAGATCTACTTATTGGCACCTAAGAACAGATCTACTTATTGACACCTAAGAACATATTTACTTATTGACACTAAAGACCAGATCTACTTATTGGCACCTAAGAACAGATCTACTTATTGACACTAAAGACCAGATCTACTTATTGATACCTCAGAATAGATATACCCATTGACGCCTAACAAAAGAATGATTCTTACCTTGGTCCAAAGGAAACTGTTACATTCCTGCTCTACATTGTAGTTGATGATCCTAGAGATCTCCTCTTGCCAGATTTTTAAACCGTAAATGTTGACATAATCCTGGATGTACTCAAATGATCTACGGAAGCCGTCCATCTGGTCACCAAGTGTGTGAAGTTTGGGCAGCAGTTCATTGACCTTTATTGAAATATTAACTGTCAATAAATCTTTGTATGATGGTCAAAAGGTGGTAACATTATCAGACCTGTTTACCTCTATGCTTTCGCCAGAGTAACTACGTTCTTAAGCCTCAGACTACAGCACTAAAACAAGCATTTAAAAAACTACAGTTTCAGGATTTTTGTCTTCATTTGTTTTGTTTAATTTTAATAAAAAAATTAATAATTGGGGTGTTTTCAATAAAAAGTTACCACATTTTTTTGTGTTAACACCGTAAGCAATAGAATAATAACAACAGTGATTGGCCTTTGCTGTCTCGATCTCAATGAGCCAACCAGAATATTATCTTTTACAGAATTGTGTTCTTAATACTTAATTGCCAATTGGCTTGCCTAAGACCTTTTCTCATCCTTAAGAAACAAATCACAGGACTATTTCCTGTGTATTTATTTGTGTTAACTTACATAAGCAGTCGGGTGGATTTCCTTACACAACTTGTATTTTGATTTCCAAACAGCCCCCCACCTAATTGAACAAAGTTATCTTTGGAGCTTGAAACTACATTTTTGAGAGCTGAAAACTACGCTGACACCAACCCGGGGGTAAACAGGTGTGCATTATTACAGTAAATCTTAGTATGATGTTCAAGAGATAGTAACATTATGATAATATGATAAATGACAACTTAATCTCACAGCAAAAGGATTTGGCTTCTGGAGGAAATTTACATAAAAAGACACGCACGTCAATGAAATTCCATGATTAAAAAATCATATTTAGATTTTATATTTTTTGATTTATGGCAGTCTAAATTTGTCCATTAGTAGACCATTACTATTATAAATCGTATCACAGGGAGAAAATTGTCCAATAAAAGGAGACTGTCACTTTTACACATATATATAAAGGTATTGCACACATTTCATCACTAGCATTAGTTGAAGATCATCGATTGTCACTATTAATGTCCATTTGCATTTTTAACATAATCATTTTTCAAAACATGTTAATAATCCTATCATCAACCTGCTCTGGTTTTAGTCCTTTAGGACAGCGATTTTTGCATTTTCGTCAACTCTATACATCAAAAAACATTACAAAAGCATAACAAAAATAATGAATACATGGCGTGGCCGTTTCTGTGACCTCTCTAAACACTGAACTCAGTATTTTACAACACATTTTTATGTACAGTATGTCGATCTAGAGTAAGGTATGGGAGACCGAAATATCGGTCAGGCGGGGTATGGATTTCTTGCACACAAACAAATAAAGCTGGATCATGGATTCAAAGGTTTAAATTTCTCTAACAAAGCTGAGATAAAAGAAGAGGATCCAACAGAAAACACAGAGAATACAGTAGCCATGTCATGGAGAGCAGACACAAAAATAGTGCTGTAAGAAAATGGTTACAAAATGCGGCATATCACATAATTGAGATTTTACCTTGGCTTTGGAGTTGAACATGAGACCTGTGTGTAAAGCCTGGGACACCTGCATGACCAGCTCTTTCCTGATGCCATCTTCTAGCAGCTGTTTTGGGTCTATCTGGAGAGGTAACATGACAAATTACAGTATGAGATGTAGTTGTGTTACATGCACAGTGCAATCCCACAGATAACGGATTGAACATAGTTGTCACACTTATGGTGGTGCTAACAAGGATTCAAACCCCAGACTCCTGTCTGCTGACCTAGCTCTAAGAGATTCCTCCGTCTGGCTACCCAATGTATTCTTAGCTTAAGTAAAACACTAACGCTTCTTGTGCTTACCTTTATAATACCAACCAGAGTTGTCTTCATCATGAGAATTCCCTCAGTAAACACAGAGATGGCATGAGTCAGACGAGCTACCTGATCACCAAAACAAAACATAAGTTGTAACGAGATAAGGGACTTTTGTATAGGATCAAATTAATGTTGTCAAATGAATATAATAACAAAACTGTTGCAGTAAAATGATACTTGAAGAATCTGCTATGGAACTAAGTAAATAAACAAACCATGACAGTTTATGTAATTTCTTCTATCATTACAAAGAACCTTATTCTGACCTCATCCATCTAAATGACCTAGTTTACCGACCTCATCTATCTAAATGACCTAGTTTGCTGACCTCATCTAAATGACCCATTTTGAAGACCTCATCTAAATGACCTAGTTTGCTGACCTCATATCTTTCATCCAACTGGGCATACTCTTTCATCTTGTCCTTCTCCAGTCTGGTGGGCACCTCCTTGATGGAGTTGGTCAACAGTTTTATGATCTTGGCCAGTAAGCTGAACATACTTTGTGGGATGATCTGGAAAAATTGAATGACAAATGAGAGATGATTTCATTCACTTGGGTTGGTCATTTATTTCACTCACACAAGATTGCTGATCATTAGGTGGACGGTGAGAGACAAAGTTGTAAGCTTTCTCAATGGTCAGCTATTTTAGCCACTAAACAAAAAATGACTGTCAGATTTCAAAATTTTTAAGAACCTGTTGTTAATGGAGCCCACAGATCTAAGTTCATTTCCTTTAATTTTTACAATTATTTTCATGGTTCCTCTTTGCTTCAATTTAATTTATATTTTATCTGATGGTTAAGTCTTTCTGCCAACATGTTTTTCGAAGTCAACAGGTAAGTTTTGACCTAATGATACTCATAGGTTGCATTTAATTTCATTGATGTAAACCTTGCAGCTTTATAACTTGTATTTTATGAGGACTGATCTTTTATGTGATTACTAAGTATGTAAGACAAACCTGGGGGACAAGACAAGCCTATAAGACAAACCTGTAAGACTTTCCTGACATAGGCTACCAGTTCCCCAGAATAATACTGTGACACACTCAGTAAATCTTGGCTGTTGGCTTGGTTGATTCTCAGAAGTGGGAGGTCAAGGGCAGAGGCCATCTAGTGTTATAATGTCAGTGGCAGAATAATAAATGGTGGGCATGTCATTATAAAACTAAAATAGTCATCCTTGACCAGAGGCTAGTACCGGTATTGTATAGCATAATATTGTTGCAGAATTTAACAAGTTAAAACATGACTAATGGATATCTAATAAACTGTCACGACAATATGAAAATTTTAAAATATACAACATTTCACTTCATTTATGTTTCATATTTGTCGTCTAAACTAAATTCATACGAATTGTGAGCCCTTGAAACATCAATCGAACCAGAATTTAAAAACAAACAGATCAGAACTAACGTTTACCTTGAGAAAAGTTGCCCTCAGTTTAATGACAAGGCTTGGGTCTTTCTTGATTCCCTCTTGCATGTACATGGTGTAACTAAAGGGAAACAATTAAAAGTATCAATGATGGGCAATAATTGATAGAACTTGTCCCAGCAAGCATGAGCCTCTTTGCGGTTTCCTTTGTATGAAGTTAATGAAAGGTCAAGACTGATCTTACAATGAGACGAGGCGTGTCATTGTAATTAATCTACATAAAAATATTCACACCCGTGTTGATATCATCTGCTTACAATGAGACGAGGCGTGTCAATGTAATTAATCTACATAAAAATATTCACACCCGTGTTGATATCATCTGCTTACAATGAGACGAGGCGTGTCATTGTAATTAATCTATATAAAAATATTTACACCCGTGTTGATATCATCTGCTTACAATGAGACGAGGCGTGTCAATGTAATTAATCTACATAAAAATATTCACACCCGTGTTGATATCATCTGCTTACAATGAGACGAGGCGTGTCATTGTAATTAATCTACATAAAATATTCACACCCGTGTTGATATCATCTGCTTACAATGAGACGAGGCGTGTCATTGTAATTAATCTACATAAAATATTCACACCCGTGTTGATATCATCTGCTTACAATGAGACGAGGCGTGTCATTGTAATTAATCTACATAAAATATTCACACCCGTGTTGACATCAGCTGACTTAAGGATTGACGTTTTACTCTACTTCTTTTTTCTGACAACATTTTTAAAAAATTTGAATTGTTTAAAAAAAAAAATAATTAGTTATTGATGCCAACAGGTTAAAAATGATAAAAATGCACTTGTGAAATTTAAATTTATGCACTTTTAACTATAATTAAATACGTCTTAGATTGTGATTTCTTATTCTTCTATATCTTAAGGGCCCACGATCAATTTACATACTATATGGTAACATAATGTAAGGTATGGGAGACCGAAATATCGGTCAGGCAGGGTATGGATTTCAACCCTTTGAATCCATGATCCAGCTTTATTAGTTTGTGTGCTAAAAATCCATACCCTGCCTGACCGATATTTCGGTCTCCCATACTTTTTGTAACCATATAGTATAAAACTCTTAACTTTATAGTCGACCTATTGTATAAACTTTTAACTTTATTTTGGTCATATTGTATAAACTTTTATTATATTGGCCATATTGTATAAACTTTTATTATATTGCCCATATTGTATAAACTTTTATTATATTGGCCCTATTGTATAAACTTTTATTATATTTGCCTTATTGTATAAACTTTTATTATATTGGCCCTATTGTATAAACTTTTATTATATTGGCCCTCTTGTATAAACTTTTATTTATATTTGCTTTACTGTATAAACTTTTACTATATTGGCCTTATTGTATAAACTTTTATTATATTTGCCTTATTGTATAAACTTTTATTATATTGGCCATATTGTATAAACTTTATTACATTGGCCCTATTGTATAAACTTTTATTTATATTTGCCTTATTGTATAAACTTTTATTATATTGGTAATATTGTATAAACTTTTATTATACTGGCCCTATTGTATAAACTTGTATTTTATTTGCCTTATTGTATAAACTTTATTATATTGGCCATATTGTATAAACTTTTATTATATTGGCAATATTGTATAAACTTTTATTTTATTGGCCCTATTGTATAAACTTTTATCTTTATAGAGGCCCTATAGCATAAAGCTTAAAGCTAAAATGAAAGGGAGCTCAATCTTAAATAATGCCTTTTTGTCCCCACACAAAAATGCCCCACCTGTCCATGATGTTCCATGCATAGGACAGATCAGCTACAATGTGGATTGTGATCAGGACCTCCTCCTTGATGTTGATGGTTCGAATCATCTGATGCAGGTACTGCCTTGTGTCTGCCAGGAACTGCCGCACCTGAAGATTACTCTCCAGTTGATGGAACTCTTGCACCTGGAAGGTTATTGAAAAAACTGAACACAGACAAGCCACCACACAAGTAACCCTTTCATCAGTTAGACAATCTGATGGTCAAGTTGTGGAGATGGAGCAAAGCGTTAAATACAGAAGTAGATGTAGCAAATAAGGACATAAAGACAAATAAAATTTTATTAAGAACTATCTCAATGCATGCCACAGTTCACTATTTATCTAGAATGATAATTTTGTTTCAAAGAAATATAATACTTCATAAACAGTTTTGTAAAGATAAAATATTAGCCTTGAATAGTTCAGATCTCTTGTTTAAGGCACAAAATATATCTCAGAAATGTAACGTGTCTGACCTCCTCTAAAGCTTGAATAAGTTGAACAATTTTACGGCCGGCAGACGTGGAGTCATCATATCCCAGGGAGTTGATCTGTTTGCTCATCTCAGCAAACCAGGCCTGGAGATTGTCTGAGAACAATTAAATGTATAGCTGAAATATAACTACTTAAAGCCTACACAAGCTAAAACATCACCAGCAACCCAGGTGGATGGGACTCATTAACCTTGGATGGCAACTCATCCGAGAGAAGGCAAACTCTCAAATCAAACCCCGAGTTGGAGTCCCACAGGTGTTAAGACACTGACACAATGAAAATTCCAAGAAATCCTGAGACTCCTGCATAAAGAGGACAGTGCTACACAAACACACACTGCTGGTCATCTACTGCATCCTGGTCTATTCCCATGCTTCTTGACCAAGTCTTGCCATTGCATCAAATAAAAAAAGGACAAGAGAGTGATGATTATAAATTGAGCAACTCTAAACAAAATACAGCTCAAGTCAAGGCTATTGCTCAATTTGAAAGTTGCCTTGGTCATCTTGGCATACAAAGGATGAAGAACAAACGAACTTAGACCTGGAGATTTCTGTCAAAACTATTAAATGTTTAACTTTACTGTATCTACACCGATACACAAAACAAAATATCAGAGTGTTAATCGTTGCATGGTGCACAAACAGGAACTTCCTTACTTACACAATCTACCTGTCAAATGGCTTGTAAGTCACAAACATGCTACAGTACCTTTGTAAAAGATTAGGCAGTACACATTATACGAAATTAAATTTATACGAGCAGAGACATAAAAAAAGTGCATACCAAAAAAACTATTTCTCTAAGGTGTTCCAATAAAAGCCTTTTCAAAAAATTTCAACCAACCATTTTCCAGTTTTCAAATTATTTAAATAGATAGTTCTATTTTAGAAAATGATGATTTTTCATGTGTGTAAAAACCCACCATTTTTCTCCACCCTTGTCAATGGCTTTGTCCCTGAGTAGACATCACTCAACTCCTGCATTCTCTCAGCCCCTTCCTTCTTGTACTGCTCCCATTTGAGCTCTTTCTCCGCCAGCATTTGTTTGAACAGCTGGGGGGACGAGGCAAAGTTATTTCCATCAGTGAAACAAAACAACATGAAACATTTTATTTAATAGAGGCAATCTGTGACATAAAAAATATGTGCGTTAAACTGGTCATGAGAAGAAAGTTAGCAGTTGATGAAATAAATACATAATATATTTTTTTTTGGTTAAACATCATTACAAAAATCCAGTTTTTGTTCTCATGAAACCTTATGATAATCTGTTTTTTTTAATATTGCGGACAAAAGTAATGCCCTCTACCAACCTCTTTCAGCTTAAACTCAAACTGTGCTATATTTAGTAGCAGCTCAAAGACAGTGAGAGGGTTAAACTTGCAGTCTGTCATCACCTGCTCCCTAATCTGTTTAATCCGTTTGTTCAGCTCAGCACCTGCAGGGAATGACGTGTTGTAGATTTCAACATCCACAATATTAAGTCACAACAGTGGACATCTAAGTCACCAATTGTTATTATTTGGTAAGGGTCGTGGCATTATTAAATGTCTAACAATAAATGTTAATTTAAAAAAAAAAAAAAACAACATTACGTTCATAATCCTTCTTCAGATTTCTTTTAAAATTATATGTCTTGTCTAGAATGTGAAACGCTCGCAGGGCTGTGAAATACCTTAAACATCATTTGAACCTATGTCAAACTTGTGCTTGATTTATCAGCATGTCAATGGAAAATTGTCATGTGTCTTGGTGGTCCCATTAACAATGAACATTAAATGCTTCTTTTCTTGGAAATTTATTTTTTTTTAAATTTGAATATTTGGGCCACAAACTAATGGAAATGAAAAGTGGATCCCAGGCCCGGTGATTGGATTCTTCATGAGTCGCAGCTGGAGAGCTGTGCTCTGTAACATTTCAGCAGTTCCATGCTATAAAAGAATTACTTTAGCATGAAGGATTTAATTTACAAAGCCACGTTTGATATCATTTTCAAATGAGGTGGGAGTACATTAATTTTGTGGAATGTACAAGGTGGGGATTAGGGAACCAATTGTGATGCAAATACTTGGATTGGAAATGTAATAATATTAGAGTTTTGTTTTTGGGGTTTGTTTTTTTTTTTTTGCACATTATTTTTAGAACTGTAGATAAGCTCTTAAGAGCAATATCTGTAATTTTTTTTAGAACTCAAGAGAAAGTTTGATGAGCAGATCTGTCATTATTTTCAGAATTGTAAAGGTCTTTTGAGCAGAGCTGTGATTATTTTTAGAACTGTAGAGAAAATCTGATGAGCAAATCTGTAACTATTTTTAGAACTGTAGAGAAAGTCTGATGAGCAGTTCTGTACTCACCAGGTTAATGTAGAGCACATCATTAAAATCATGAATTTTTGAGAAGGCTATGTTCATCAATTATTTTAGTGGAATGTCTCAGATAAAATGCCACAATAATGAGTTTTTGACTTATTGCTTTGTTTGCAACCTTGAGGTAACAATTAGCCTTGGACCTTTTTCTGAAGATTTGTATATTTGTAATAATCATAGCCCACAATATGCATGGCCCATTTTATAAAGATATCACATTGTAATATATTTTATTTAAACACCTTTAGGTGTTTATTATCTCTATCACTCCAGAGTCAAAGATAAAATACAAAATGGCTGATCCAAATACATGTCACACAAGGTTGTTTTTCTTTCTTTTCTTTTTTTTAGGGGGAGGTGGGGGAGGAAAGGGGAGGGAAGCAGTTTTAATACTGCTCATCTTAAAATCAAAACATCATCGATAGATGAAAAACAATTTTTTTTCAAATTCCAGCAAAATGATAAAGTATTTAAAAGTTCAGCTGGGTATCCACATATGTCCTAAAAAGTATAGGCCTTGGTAGTTAGCAATCATGGAGAAAAAGTCTATAACATTCCTTCCTGTCAAAGTTGGTGAGCAACTTGTGTGAATGAGAACTCAAGTGAATTTCACACATTTTTTTTATTATTGCCACACAATTTTTAATTTGATGGAGAATAATATAAAGTGCACTGAGGAGGAAAATTAGGTAATGGAGGAGAGCTTACAAGTCAAGGGGCATCACTCTAGATAGAAATGAATTACCTGGCTGATTAAAGCCTAGAGATAAAAATTTAAGAGATAGAACATGCAGTAAGGTTTTTTTCTTGTCAAAATAATAAAGCAGCTATGATTATTACATCCAATGGCACTAATGCACGAATAATTAATTTAAATTGTTTAATTATTATATTAGCTGTAATCAAAACTGAATAATTTAGTTAACAAAACCCTATAGGACAGTATTTCATGATTAAAATGACAACTGAAAATAATAAAAGCTGTGCAAAAATATAATATATGTTTACCCTGTTTACTCTCAAACGCTTAAAATCGTACAATATCATCACAAAATCATTTAATACATTTTATTAATATTAAAAAATAAACATACAGAATATATAATGTATACACCTTAAAATCGTACATTGTACATCAAAATCGTAAGAGTAAACTAAACAAGTATGCTTTTATAGCATTTTTAACAGTTAACATTATTCAATCAATCAATTTTTTTTTTTTTTGATTTAGAACTTAATTTGTATAGGCTAATAATAATAATTTTTTTTTAAATATTGCTTAAAATGTTACTGGCACACTTTAAGAAAAGCAAGCTGAAATATTATTTTTAAATTTCAAACCCACACAAAACAATATTAATATGAGTGAGCTTAAAAATAAATGTTAAGACACCTACTTGGAGCCAGTGCAGCAGAGTGTAACATTAACCAGCGTAGGGTCACGTTGCCCTCTCTCAAGACATTCATGAGTTTCTGGATAGAATCCAGTACAAATTCCTCTTTTAATACTCCTTCCTTCAAGTATTTGGTGAGCACTGGCTGAAGTCTTGTCACCTTCTGGGCATACTTAACCGACTGTAAGATAAAATTCAACATAACTATTTTCACTTAATATAAGGCAGAAACTCAACATCTGAAAGGGGCTGTTTTCCGGTCAGAGCAGTTTGAAAATGTATTCCCTTTTAATGTTGAAATTGGCTTTTTAATAAACTTTTTAAAAATCAACATCTTCAGTTGATGAGGGTTAGCTGCTAAATTTCCTGCAAAGTAGTTATTTAAGAAATGGTGAACTCTTTTTATTTAATTTTTCCTTAAATCCAGCAAGTCGTATATGCTTATTTTAAAAGCAATTCTATTAAATTATATTAAGTATTCTCGCCATCAACAAAATACAAAACTTTCCTGATATAACATATTAGCGATCTGTGAATTTCATAGATGAAAAATTAATGATGTAATTAGAATTAGAGCTATGTCTCTGAATATTCAAACTGATTTTTTTTGTTGGTTCATTAAAAAGGCTTTGTTTTCTTAATTTGGTGTTAGTTGGTTTGATTTCATGAGCTTGCTAATAATAAACCAATGAAGAGCAAATACGGAAAGTAAATTGGATGAAAATGAAAAGAGTCACCTGTTCTCTGATGTTTGTGACAGACAGGGTGTTGTTCAGGGCAGTCATAGCAGCTTTATATGGATGCCAGGCGTCCAGTAGATTCACTGTCATTCCCATATACACACTGACCACCTGGAGATTGTGTTGACAATGAATAGATTTGAGTTTCAATGTCAAATATACCCACTATTTTGTGTGGCAACATTTCAACATCAGATCTTTATAACAAAACTTCACTTTTGTTAGGGAAATGAACTTATATTAACCAAGTTTGTAAAATTGTCACAAATAGAAACTGAACTTAATATGTAGATGACAATATCACTAAACTAGCACATCTATTTAAGTTTGTAAACAACACATACCCAGTTGTCAGGAAAATGTTTATCCACAATCTCTCTCATTTTGGCCTGCTGTGAATATAAAATGTCTGGCTGAAAGTAGAGGATAACATACAACATGCTGGCCTGTGTGGCAAAGGCTGTACTGCGATGCTCTGGCTGCGGGTATGCAGCAATCTGGTTGTAGATATCATCTGACCTCAGTCGACCAATCACCATGTCAACATACTCAGCATTGATTTGGACTCGACTATAAAAAAATTAATGATTGCAGAAGTTAGATGCAAAAAAAAATGGTTATAAGCCAGATGTAAATTTAACGGCTCTAAAGTAATTTTTCAATTTCGTCTAATGATTTAAACCAAATCCTGGCAGTAGTGTGTTTTTAAGGCTCACAGAAAACAGATTATGGTATGCTTCAACTCTACATTAAAACTGTGGTCAATCAAAGCATTATTTCTTCTCATTTCTCACATTTTTCTCTCTAAATGTTTCAATGCATAGATATATTTATGTTAAAATATCAAATGAGGATATTGTCTTTTAAAGTTTATCAATTTAGTTCTTTCATGTACTCAGAGATTATTATAATTTTATTTTCAAGCTGGAAATGAAAACTTGGCATTGCAAAAACAAATTATTTGTATATAGATTTAATCACTGTGCCAAAGCAGCTAAGAAATGTTGATAGCTTTTTCTTGTATAAAAATCAATCCTCTCAACTAAGATCTAATTACACATATGAGCCTTACCTGAAGAAAGATTCAGGATACTGTAAAGGACGTTTAGCTCCAGGGGCGTTGGTGAAGCCTGTGCTTCGCAATAACTTGCAGACATCATCAATGTTTGAATCACCTGCTGCAGCTTTCTGAGCACTGCCAAGTTGAAATTAAGTTAATGAAACATGGTCATGAAATATTAACAATAAAAATTAATATTAATTGATATTATACTGGGATTTAAAAAATAATATTTCAATATTTCTTTGTGGAATTAAATGTATCAATATTTACCAATATAAATTTTAAAATAAATTAATCCTGAAATCAAATGTGACTAACCTGTATCGATAATATGACACTAAAATTCTTTCTCTTATGATTCCGTCTATCCGTGTGTCAATGATAAGCAGCATCACTCCATATAAAAATAAGGCTTCACACTGTTTAAGAAATTAAACTGGTCAAATATTGAATTTAAACTTTTGGCATTACATAGCATTAATGAATATTCACGCTAAATATGAAAAATGAAAGAGAGTAAAATAGCAGAGCTTAAGTTTTATTTAATTGTATGCTTTTTTTTAAATATGTTTTAATGACTTAGAAAGGATGTTACTTTTTTAACCTAATTTTACTAGATATTTATAATTGATGCAAAAACCTAATATTTTTAGACGAACAATTTTCCATTTTCTTCTGGAAAAAAAACAACAACAGACGAAACTAAATTTGTGTCAAGCTGGTCATATAATGAACCTAACAAATTTTTGGCTACTTCAAAATGAAAGACACCGTGCTCAGTAGTAAAACAATTCTATGCTAATTAAATTACACAATATAGTTCTTAAAATTCAGTAGTCTGAACTTACCATGAGTTGTTTTCCATCTTCATTGAGAAGTACAGATTCCATAGTCTGCTGAATATACACACCCTCTTCAAGATCTTCCAAGTATCTATTTGACAAGATAAAAACTCAATCTAAGTTGATTTATTAAAATATATTTAAAAACTTTTTTAAAATGCATTTATAACAGTGAAAAGTGTTCACTTCAAGTTCATCTTTAATAGATATTATTTTACTTCAGGAGTAATTATATTCTAACTTACCTGTTAAGGTCTGTGACATATTTGTGGACACTGGAAAAAGCTTGGTAAAAACGTGTAAGTATTTCAATGTTGTTTTCTCTGAACTCTTCATCTAAATCTTGCAGATCCTTCAAGAAACAAAACAAAAAATTATTTAAAAGGGCTTTCTTCTTTTACAATATACAGTAAAAAAACAAATTTTTATCTATAAATAATTAAATTGTTTTTTCCTTCAGTAGCAAAAGAAAATATGTAGTATTTTAAAATATAAACCTAGCCCCACAAAAGTTTCATTCCTCTCTCTAGTTATAGGATGTTGTTGTTTTACTCTAAAAATATATTAGAGCTTATTCCAAAAATTGCAAAGATTCAGTTATAAAAAAGAAAGTGTTATCATAATCATAGAAATGACTTAAGAGGCTGTGAATAAAAAGGATATCATGGTGTTATAGCATTTGAGTTGACCTAATTTTAATTAAATATAGTATTGTGGCGACCACCTCTTTTGTTCTTTTGATATTGACGTCAAGGAATAAACGTGTAACACTGTACCAACCCATTTGGGAAAAAATTGTTTACATTCTCTTTGTTCTAGAGAATGCTATTGGGTTTTTCAATTTCTATAATTTCTTTTCTGGATTGTTACAACTCATTCCCTATTAAAAAAGCTGGCAGTTTTCTCAGCCAGAAGATATTTTTGCTATATTACCTTGGCATTTACGAAACATCATATACTTATAGAAGGCTGACAAGATTGTAAACTTTTATGTGTGTGTATATAAATATCTGTTTCTTTCGAGAATAATACTTTTTCACTTGCTGTGCTGTAATGTAATATAATTTTATTTCTCTTTATATGATTTTGTATTTTTTAATATCAATTCAAAATTATAATTAAATTTAATATTGTTAAGATCATTAGCTTTGTTATTGTTTGTCTTTGCATCCAGGTTTTCAGTCTTTTGTTACATGAAAAATGTAATTCAGTTTCATATTAGGACATATTTACATCCAATATGGAACTTCAATATCTCTTAATATTGATCAATTTTATGCCATTAATAGACTACCATATAAATGAAAAAAATTAAACTGATTGTCCTTTATTAGTGAGATGATTTTTAGTATTTATTTTTACAATGTATTGATTATTCATCAAGGGAAACCTTTTAATGATTTACTTGTTTCACTGATTTGATAAACATTGTATATAGTGAGGCTGTCCCTAAATTGGGTCAGAATACTACAGCATGCCCAAATAAGCAAAATCCAGAGCATCTAGAAATAATTTTGTCAAAGTATGTATTATTGTCACCCTTGAATTATATTTCTAAAGGGCCATGAACTTTTTATAAAATAATTTTAAAAATTCCAATGTCAGATTCCATTTAACTTTTATAAATCTGTTTTAATTTTCAGTAATTGATATGTTCTAATCATTTTCCAGAAAGGATTAAAACTTGCGATTAAAGACAGAAAATGAAAACTTTTATTACTCACAACTCTTGATTCAATCTTGCTGTCAAAGAGTTCAGTACTGTTAAAATAACTGAAATCAGCCAATATGTCAGCATATCTTAGTCTATCAGCCTGTGTTTCAAGACGGAAAACTGGTGGAACAAAATCAGCTAGACGTAATAATTCAGCTATAATGGCATTTCCTCTAGACACAAGACGCAATATATTTTGACCACATTGGTTGTTTTCAGCCAAGAAATCTGCCATGATTTTGAATCATGTGAATATTCACTATGTCTGAATATGTCAAAGGTAACACTTCTCCGGATAGAACGTATTCCACATCAGCACTGCAATTTAAACGTTGATTTTGAAAATAAAAAGGAAGTTTTTAGTGTTAGAATTAGATGAATAAAAACAAATAATAAATAACCTGGATTTGGATAGCTAGTTAAGACTTAAGTAATACTTATTTCGAAGTGTCTACACTTCCGGCGCGCCGCTAGTTAAGACTTAAGTAATACTTATTTCGAAGTGTCTACACTTCCGGCGCGCCGGACAAATAGTGCGCAAGATATACGTCCGGCCGGTATGTCACGTGACCGCCGGACGGCTAGTAGTTTTTATAATTCCGAACGAAGTACAGTTTGGTAGATCTTGTGTGGATTAGTGGTAGAGTGGTGGCTTGACGATATTATGATTTGAGGATCAATACGAGGGATAGGATCGTTCTTTTTTTCTCCCATTTTAATGTAAAATATTTTATACTATATTTATATTATCATGTTCATCAGCAACAGTAGTTTCATGAGAAGTTTTTAAATATTTTCTAACAATTTAAAATGAAATCTTTTACTTTTATTGGTTGCCTACTCCACACTGGCCCCTAATACTAATTTATTTTATGGATTACTGGTGCACAAACTCAAATAACAAACTAAACAAAAATGTTTACAAGCCACTTTCACTTAAGTTTTTTCTATTATTTGCATTCAAGATACTCAGTACATTACTTGGTAGAGAAATAGATTTTAAAATTAACAATAGTTTTGAATCATTTGCAGTCACGTAACAAGGCTGACCGACAAGATATCTCTCGCCAATTTGTTACGGCAGTCATGTGACTTGGTCGCCGGACAAATAGTGCTGGAGATAGACGTCCGGCACGCCGGACGTGTAGACTGTAGACACTGCCTACTTATTTAGAGTATCAGTATGATTTTAACAATTTACTTAAAAAATTAGTCCACAAAAATTGTACAACTGCAGTTAAAAACAAAATATTTGTTTAATTTGAATTGGCAAAAACTGTCAAATGTCCAAATGTCAACAAAGTCAAAAATGTATAATTATTTATTATAATACTAAATTGAAATTATAAATAATATTAATTCCTTTCCATTTCATATTTTTTAAATGGAATCGCATTAACAATTATAGTCAAACATATCTAGTTTATAATAGTTGCGAAAAAGCATTCTTGAAAGTACTTGGTATGAAGTAGGCCTATAAACTTCTTAAAAGAATATACCTACCCTCAACCCCTAATCTAGAAAAAAAACTACTGGCATAACAAAGCCCGACACGCCCCTCAGATCCCAAACTTGGTGATAATGTTTGTCTGATTAATTAAGTAGAGTTGGAAGCCAGGCGGTATTCACAACTTGTAAACATGTTTTTAGTGTGACAATATTTAATAATTTTGATTTGGCTTTCAAACACTGTGTAATAATTTTTATTAAAAGATGTTGAAAGCAGCTTATTTACTTTTCTATTGATTCACATGATAGAGAAAGATTAAGAGTAGCCCCCCCTTACCCAATTCTAAGAGCGGAAGTAACTTATTCTAATTTCAAAATTTGAGAACGACGTGCTGAAATCAGTGCGTTAATCATTATATGCGCTTTACTTTACAACTTTTTTTTTTAGCTTTATGTAATTTTATTTAATTGCCACAATATAATAACCTTAAGGTAAATAATTAGCTGTTTGCGTAATCTTATATAGATTAGAGATATATACCTTGAACGTCAACATTGAAAATAAATTTAAGAATTATTTCGCTCAAAATCTGATGTTCAAATTCAATTCAAAATTTCAAATCCAAAAATGAAATTCTCAAATTATAACAATACAGCGACCCTTCTTATTAAGTGTTTAAGACAACGCAAAATGTGAACGTGGTTGAAAACACACAAGACTTAACTCTTTTCTCACTTTTACTCAATGTTAGGCTTTGACTTCAGGTACTTTAGTTGTAGTGCATTCATTTTAAAACTTGTTATCTTTGGCCACACTAAACTAAAAAAAATACTCCAGGCTGTTTCAGATTTAGCGCCCACGTTGACTTTGTTAAGGTTAGGCATAGGGATCGATTTAGGGTTCGGGTTAGGCTTAGGGATAGATTTAGGGTTTGGGTTAGGCATGCATAGGGATAGATTTAGGGTTCAGATTCAGATTAGGCATACGAAGTGATTATTCACAGAGCTGTGCGGATAACGCTCGCCGTTATTCACAGATTTCGGTCTGCCGATAACGCTAAACGTTATTCACAGAATGTGATAAATTAATTAATGAATATAAAGTACAAAGTTCGT